TTTTTTTTGGCTTTTTGGGTCACACCTGATGATCAGAGGTCACGCCAGGCTCTGCATTCCTGGCTGAGCTCGGGAGCCATACGTGATGTTGGAAATTGAACCCAGTTCAACCACATGCAAGACAAACACTCTACCCGCTGTACTGTTACTCCGGCCCAGAAGTGAGAGAATTATCCAAGCATGGGGTCAGGGATTTAGTATAACAGGTAAGGCATTTGCCTACACGCAACTGACCCAGATTTGATCCATGGTACCACTCATGGTCCCTGAGCACCGCTAAAAGTGATCCCTAAACATAAAATCCTGAGCACTGCTACTCTTGCCAAAAAAAAAAAAAACAAACCCTCAAAACAGCACCCAAAGACATATTGCGTAGATCTGATCTTGGCATATTTATTAGGTAAAAATGAAATCTGCGGCCAGAGAGATAGTAAAGGGGTTGTAAAGGTGTTTACCTTGCATATGGCTAATTCCATTATGATTATTGGCACCACATGGTTCCTGAACACTGTCGTATGTAGCCCTCTTGTCCCCTTGAACAAGAAGTGGCCCACATCATCCCTAGATTGCAGGGCCTGAGAAACACCTTTGCATTGAACTTTCAGTCTGGTTGAAATGTCTTGGAAGAGTCCCTGGTCTTCTGAGTAAGGTTTGTGAGATACCCCTTCCTCCAAAGAAATGATCTGGTGAGGGGGCTAGAGTAATAGCACAGCAGGTATGGAGTTTGCCTTGCACACAGATGACCTGGGTTTGATTCCCAGCATCCCATATGGTCCCCCGAGCACTGCCAGTAGTAATTCCTGAGTGCAGAGCTAGGAGTAACCCCTGTGTATCTCTTGGTGTGACCCAAAAAAGCAAAAAAAAAAAAAAAAAAAAAAAAAGACCTGGTGAGTTTTTAAAAATAGTATCATTATTAAATTTTATTTACTTATTTTTTATTTTTATTTTTTGCTGGGTCACACCCAGCAATGCTCAGGGGCTGGCTACTCCTGGCTCTGTACTCAGGAATCACTCCAGGTGGTGCTTGGGGAACCATATGGGATGCTGGGAATTGGGTCGGCTGCATGCAAGGCAAACGCCCTACCCGCTGTGCTATCACTCCAGCCTGTCATTATTAAATTTTAAACCCTGTTCCTTAATGCCTTTTGTGGAGGAGAGGGTGTTTGGGCCACACCTGGTGGTCCTCAGGGCTTACTCTTGAATCTAAGATCAGAGATCACTCTTGGTGGTGCTCCAGGAATCATATGCAGTGTCAGGGATTCAACCTGGAATGACTGTGTGCGAGGCAAGGCAAGCTACTCTTGTACTTAGGACTTTCAAAAAGAAATTCTAGGGTCTGGGGAGATAGCAAGATAGCACAGGGCAAGGGAACATGCATAATGTGTTCCTGACTCAGTTTTCAGTCTTAGCACTTCATGGAACCTTGAGCTCAGGTGGCCCTTGTTGCTTTCAAGCATGGCCTGGGTTATCCTGGTCTTCGGAACCTCAGGGTCTGAGCAGCACTGCAGCCCTGGCCCCCTGGCAGTTGACTGAGTACTGCTGCATGTAGGTTCTCTTGTCCCTAACCCTTCCGGTGAACAGCATTTCTGAAGCAGGTGTTACTAGATTTTGTACGTATATTAAAAGGTCAGTTTGTAGGCCTCAAGATAAGCATTCTTTGATTTCTACTTTATAAAAACAAAATATAGTTGATCATAATAGTTTGGAATTTGTATGCAGTCAGACCTTGTGATTTTACCTATTAGCCACACTAGATAAACTGATTCTTGCTGTGTTTTTTATTTTATTTTGATGTTTGGGCCATACCCAGCAGTACTCAGGACTTATTCCCGACTTTGCACTCAAGGATCATTCCTGACAGTGCTTAGGAACCATGTATGATGCTAGGAGCAAACCCTGGTCAGATGTATGCACCTTACCTGTTGTACTTTATCTTTTGCCCCTTGGAATGTTTTTTTTTAAATTGATTACTTCTGGGACTGGAGACATAGTACAGAGGTTAAGGTGCTTGCCTTGTGTCCTCTGACCCAAGTTTGAATCCTCGGTACCACATATGTCCTCAGAGCACTGTCGGGCATGATCCTGAGTGCAGAACCAGAGGTAACCCCTGAGCATCACAAGGGTGACACTTCCTATCTCCCCCGCCCCCCCCTCCCCGCAAAATACAAAATGTGGCCAGAGATACAGTGCAGTAAGAGTATTTGCCTTGCATGCTGCCAACTCATGTTCCATCCTTGGCACCACATACCACATATGGTTCCCCAAGCCTGTCAGGAGTAATTCCTGAGCAGTTAGGAGTAAGCCCCTAACACTGCTGGGTGTGGCCCCAAGCTAAAAATAAATTTTAAAAAATTAAACTCCAAAGAAATTTAACTGTTAAATCATTAATTAGGAAGGTACAGAACGAGAAGCCAAAAAGATAGTACAGTGGTTAAAGCATTCACCTTGCATATGGCCAAGTACAACATGTGGTCCCTTCCACCCCCAGTACTGCTCAGGAGTGATCCCTGAGCACAGATCCAGAAGAATAAGCCCAGAGTATCCCCAGCTATTACCAATAGAGCCGTCCTCAAGATACCTAGAGAATTTGAACATCAAAACTATCAATATGTAGGGGGAGAGGGGGGAGAGTGGAGAGAGAGTACTACGGGTAGGGCATTTGGTCAATGCCGTGGCTGAACCCAGGTTCAATCCCTGGCAGCTCACATGGTTTCCTGGCACTGCCAGGAGTAATTCCAGAGTACAGAGCCAGGAGTAATCCCTGAGTAGTGCTGGATGGGAGATATTAAAGTGGGTAAAACACTTGCCTTGTAGGTGGTAACTCGGGTTCAGTCCACAGTACCCAGATGGTCCTCTGAGCTCCACTGGGAGTAATTCCTGGGCACAGAGCCAGGTGACCTTAAAACCAAAGTTATATATATATATATATATATATATATAATCAAGAGTCTAAATAATTGTATATTTTTTATTTCTGTCATCTTTACCATTTCTTTTACATTATTAAAGTAGTTTAGAGGCCAGTTAAAACTTTTTAATTTGGAGGGGGGGTGCTTAGTGGTTATTCCTGATCAATTTTAATTGATATTAGTAAAATTAGTATGCCATAGTACTGAAAGTAGTACCTATCATAGTGAAACAATGCTAAATTTTTTTGTTTGGGAGGGTCTTAACTCCTGTTTGGTTCTATCTAGTGATGTCAGGGTCACTCCTGGCAGACTGTGTGTTATGAAACCAGGTCTCCTTGCCTGCAAAGCATGTGCTTGGTCCCTTGAGCTATCTTTTCAGACTCCCACTGTCATTATTATTGCTGTTAATCATTAATAGGAAGACGGAACATGAAATTCAGAAAAACTAGAGGGAAAGAAAGTAAACATGAAAATTAGATAATGGATATTTGAAACTGTGGAAGCATGTCTCTGAACTTGGTATATTGAATGCATATAGTATTAAAAACAAGGATTGTGAACTGTTCCCCATACTAAATTGTATATGTTCAATATAATAAATTTGGAATGATGTAATCCATAAAGAAAAACTGGGCCAGAGTGTTACTGTGGATAGGGTGGTTGTGGCCGACCTGGCTCGATCCCTAGCATATCATATGGTCCCCTAAACCCCACCAGAAGTGCAAGAATGATACCTGAGTACAGAGCCAGGAGTAAGCCCTGAGCACTGTTGGGTGTAGCCCCAAAACCAAAGAAAAGAAAAAAGCTAATCCTCTATCACCTATAGATAATAACATCTAATTTATGGGGAGGGGTTTGTTTATTTTTTTGGTCACACCCAGCTGTGCTCAGGGCTTGCTTCTGGTTCTGCATTCAGGAATCACTCCTAGCAGGGCTTGTGACCATCTGGGGTGCAAGGAACTTAACTCAGGTTGACTGCGTGTAAGTCAAGTGTCCTATCAGCTGTGCTGTCTTTCCAGCCCCTAGTAAACTTGTGTTTTAAGCTGCTCCTTTCTAAGATGCAGGTAAATGAATGGTCGCCTCCATTAAAGAAGCAGTTTGCTGGGTGAAGGTTGATTTCTTTTTATAATACAGTAATCTGACTGGAGTATTTTGTTTATTGTTTGCCTCAAGTAGGTCTTTTTATGCTGTGTTCACTCTGTGTGGGAGTGTAGGGTCCTTGTCATCTGGAAATAGAAGCTTGTCCTAGCACAGTGTGTTTGAAACCTGTTAACAGTGTTCTAATTAAGATACAAATGTGTTACATTTTATATATACATAAGATAAAACTGCATTTCACTGTTTTGGAAACATACTCTTTTTACATTTGATCATTTCTGAAATTGGGATGCTTTCACTTGGTGACTCTTTTTGAAGTACAGGGGGTATTTTGGGTTTGGGGGCCACACTCAATGATTCTCAGGGTTACTCCTGGCTGTGCACTTAGGACTTACTCCTGGCTGTACTTGGGGACCGTATGGGATGGTCCGCTGCATGCAAGGCAAAAACCCTACCCCCTGTCCCAGCACTCTGGACCCTCACTTGGTGACTTCTTGCAGTTGTAGCTCTTCCCTGATTATACATGACTTGCCATCAGTAGTGTCACAGATTAGTGAAATGTGTTATTATTCCTTCCTTTTCACACTTGGAACATCCTTAAGCCCTTAAGCTTCATATTCCTTTTCCCTTCACAATGAATTTTGATAATTTAATAAATATTTCAGTTTATCCAGTTATTTGTTAGTAATTAGGACAAGTAATTGCTGTCTGAGTACCTCACATAGTGTAGTGCTGAGTACCTCACATAAGTGCAGTGCTAAGATTTGAACTAATGTGTGCCTAACTTCTGCCTTCAGTTCTTTTTTATTTTTTTTAAATTTATATAACTTGGATTAAAAAAATGGGGGCATGCAGAGAATGGGGTGAAGTATGGGACTAATCTGGCTTTTTTTGTAATCTATTTATGTTGTAGGAGTTTATAAAATAGGCTGTTTTGTGTGTTCAAATAAGATAAAATAATTAACTTTTTGGGGTATTCTTTTGCATATTTAGATGGTGATGGAATTTCCTGACAATGTGCTAAATCTTGATGGGCATCAAAATAATGGTTCACAGCTAAAGCAGTTCATTCAGGTAATAGTCTTAGAAATTAATGTTTTAAATGGTGTCTGTGTCTGTGTTTTAAAGAATAATGGAAAATTTAACATATATGTGCAATAAATAACTGGTTTGTTTTTGTTTTACATAAGTTCCTCACTGAAATTGCTTCCCTTTACTTTTGCTGCAGTGAATATATTTTCTGTACCTGTTATTGAAAGGTTGTGATAGCATTGTGTTTTTACATGTCCATAAACTTCATTCCACCAGGCCGTCTTTTCATCTTTTTGGAGAGATAGGTCATACGTACAATTTTGTTTTGCTTTGTTTTTGGTCACACCCAGCGATGCTGAGGGTTTACTCCTGTCTGTACGCTCAGAAGTCACTCCTGGCAGTGTTCAGGGAACCATATGGGATGCCAGGGATGGAATCGGGTTTGCCGTGTACAGAGCAAGCAGCTTACCTGCTATACTATCTCTCCAACCCCTATATGTACAATTTTTCATTCAAATCTTGTTGGTTTTCTGTAGTGTGTTTTTCAAGTAAAATTAGATACTGTGAACTTTTATTCCTAAATATATGATACCTTAGTCTTCAGGGTGAAGAATGATAAATTGAAGGTAATGGATGATAAATTGTTACTTAGATCCTGCCTCTACTTCTGGAGGAAAGTTAAAAGGTTACTATTAGGAGCAATAGTACAGCAGGTAGGGCATACTCGGCCAACCTTTTTAATCCCTGGCATTCTATGTGGTCCCCCAGCAATGCCAGGAGTAATCCCTGAGCATTGCTGTATGTGACCCCGTGACCCCCCCACCCCCACCCCCCCAAGAAGAAACAAAAGGAGATCCATCTTTTTTTTTCCATGTTGAAACTCTTACTTTGTGGTGTTATCTATAAGTCAAGTCTACATAGAAGTTTCTTGTTAGAGTTTTGCCCATTTCTCTACAGTTGTTTCTGAGTTATTTTTCTGCCTGTCATCACAGATGATAATATTGCCAGTGTTAGTTACTGCAGATTTCCTCATAGGTAAGATAGGCCTTGTTGTCTCCCACTAATCCACAATACACCCATCCATACCTCCAGGTTGAGAATTGCAGCTCTACATGATCACCATCCTAACTTGACTCCTGTAGATAAACATATATTGTGTTGTTAAAAGTTGAGAAAAAACGTGGTAAAGCTGCATTGTGTCTTACTCTTTTTTTGTATTTTTAATAATTTCTATTTTAAGTGAGAGTATTAAGTTTAATACCACTGACCAAGCACTAAATATCTGGGTTCAGGGCTTTTTAATATGCTGGGGCATATATAAAGCCCTGACATCCTAAGCAGAGTTTTTATGTCCTAGATTTTGGAATATAGGGTTTTTGGAGTGAACTCAGTACACTGTGGACGAGGCTGCCTCAGTTGCAGATAGAGATGTTATGCCTGGCCCAAATTGTACTTAATGTGCAGGGATAGGAACCAGGAGTAGTGCTGAGATTGAGTTTATGTCTTTTGTAAGGACTTGTCATTTTCCTTTTTCTGTCAGAGACACAGTATGCTTAAACAGCAAGATCTCAGTATCGCCATGGTGGTGACATCACGTGAAGTCTTGAGTGCACTTTCTCAGCTTGTCCCATGCGTCGGTTGTCGTCGCAGTGTGGAACGCCTCTTTTCCCAGCTTGTAGAGTCTGGAAATCCAGCCCTTGAACCCCTGACAGTAGGGCCCAAGGGAGTCCTATCTGTAACTCGAAGCTGCATGACTGATGCAAAGAAACTTTATACGCTATTTTATGTACATGGGTAAGTATAATAATTTTTTTAGGGGGAAAATGGGTCTGTTCACTTTTGGGGTTTGTTTTGGACCACACCTGGCACTGCTTGGGCTGCTACTCCCGGACTATGTGCTGGAGGTAGGTTGAACCTAGCAGCATTCATGAACCTAGAACCTGCATGCCAAACATGTGTGTGAGCTCTGAGCTATCTGCTTGCCTTGTTAATTGTCATTTTAAACATTTGTTTTCATTTTGGGGTCACACCCAGTGGCATTTAGAATTGCCTGCTGGAGCTCTGGGCTCACTCTTGGCTGGCCTGGCTGGGTGGGGACCTTGTGGTGTGGGGATTGAACCAGGCCTCTCAGATGCAAGCTATGTGCTCCAGTCCATTGAGCTTGCTCTCTGGTTCCCTGTTAAATATTTTTTAACCAGTGTGACCCTCCTACCGCGCCATATTTGGCCACTTTGAATCTGGAATGAGTAATTCAAACTCACTGAGTAATTGTTATATGCTATTGACTTAAAGTTTCTGCTCTTCTAGAGAGGCAGGCACTAAACAAATATGATTTTTCAGGTATGGTAAGTTAGAGGAAAAACTAGGAATAAGAGTATAGTTGAGGGGCTGGAGCAATAGCACAGCGGGTAGGGCGTTTGCCTTGCACGCAGCCGACCTTGGTTCGATTCCCAGCAACCCATATGGTCCCCCAAGCACCACCAGGAGTAATTCCTGAGTGCATGAACCAGGAGTAACTCCTGTGCATTGCTGGGTGTGACCCAAAAAGCAAAAAAAAAAAAAAAAAAAAAAAAAGAGTATAGTTGAGTAGAATTTGTATGGAGGGTAGTCTAGGGATGGGGTGGAATAGGGACTGGGGAATCGGGCCATACTTGGCTGTGCTCAGCTTACTCCTGGCTCTCTGCTTAGCATATGTGATCGCTGCACACTCCTGGTGGTACTGGGGGACCATATGTGGTGCGGAGGGCTAAACCCAGGTAAGGGTGCATGCAGGGCAAGCTCTGTCTCTACTGTATTATCTTTCCAGCCACTTTTTTTTATGACAGGTTTGGGGTGGGAGGGAGTGGTGTGTGTGTCCAGTACCCAGGATTTGAACCTAGGCCCCATACTCTGAAATTTCTACATCCCTGATTGGCCAAGGTAGGTTTTTTATTTGTTTATTTTAGTTTGGTGCCACACCAGAAACAAATGCTCAGGGGTCACTCCCATCTCTGCCTTCAGGAATCACTCCTGGTGGTATTAGGTTCTGGGGACCATGTAGGATGTTGGGGATCAAAGGTAGGTGCCTTACTCACTGTACTATCTCTCCAATCCCTAAGTGGGTTTGTTTATTTACGTTAGTTGGGAAGATTCAATAGTGTATCATTTGATAGCAGTATCCTTTATTTGTCTTGAAGTTTGGCTTTGACAAACTAGTTAGCGATCCTTGTCAGTGATGATGGCAACCAGTTTGGTGACCACAAAAATAATGAAAAATGATTGGATCCTGCATATATTTTGAGGATCTAGGGATGTAACTCACCAATAGAGCACATACCTCAAATGTATGAGGCACCCCTGGGTTTGATTTCTATAAGTCGAATCAACTACAGATAAATTTTAAAACCTGGGTATATTTTGAGGTATCAACCAATAGCAATTTTAGATCAGTTGCAAGTAGAGAGACAGATTTCAGGTCTAATGAACTAGAACAGGGGATTGGAGAAATGCAAGCCATCCCTGGGTTGTCACTAGCACCATATATGGGTCCCAGCTTTGCCAGGAGTGATCAGAGAACCAGGAGTAAGCCCAGCATTGGGTGTGACCCAACCCTCCCGCCCACCTCTCATTGCACTCCCCTCCACCAAAAAAGACAGGTAGTTTACTTTGGTTTTTGGTGGGGGTGTAGGGCACACCTTATTATCAGTAGGGACTATTCCTTGTTCAATAGTGACCCCTGATGCTGATCAGGGAACCATAGCTGGTGCCAGGAATTGAATCGAGGTTGGCCACATGCAAGATAAGCACTTTACCCTCTGTATCTGAGAAAGACTCGGTGTGTACGTGAAGCAAGGGACTTTTTATTAAAACTTATTAGAGGGCTGGAGAGATAGCACAGCGGGTAGGGCGTTTGCCTTGCATGTGGCTGACCCGGCTTCGATTCCCAGCATCCCATATGGTCCCCTGAGCACCACCAGGAATAACTCCTGAGTGCAGAGCCAGGAGTAACCCCTGTGCATCGCCGGGTGTGACCCAAAAAGCAAAAAACAAACAAACAAACAAAAAACACAACTTATTGGAAAGATCTGAGGAGAGAGAGAAAAGAAGTACATGTTTGAGAGAGAACACAGGCTTCTCCAGAGTGGAAGTAAGCAAGCAAGCGAGGTACATATTCAAGGAGAACATGGGCTTTGAAGTGCAGGCTGAGAAAGAAATGATTTGATCCATTAAAAGTTAGATGGAGGGGCTGGAGCAATAGCACAGTGGGTATGGCGTTTGCCTTGCATGCACGTTACCCGGGTTCGATTCCCAGCATCCCATATGGTCCCTTGAGCACCGCCAGGAGTAATTCCTGAGTACATGAGCCAGGAGTAACCCCTGTGTATCGCTGGGTGTAACCCAAAAAGAAAAAAAAAGTTAGATGGTCACTTTACTATTGGTTTATAGGTAGGTTGTGGTATACATAGTGGTGATGCATATTTGTGCAAAATTTCTATTGGTGGCTTCTGATTAAGGAGCTTTAATATTTGGATAAGGGAAGGTACTACGGGATTAGGCATTAGTCAAAATACTTGAATATTATTTTCAAGGAGTTTGGAGGCATAGTGAGATCTTTGAGCTCTGAGGGAAAGAATACATTTAAGAAAGTTGCTCTCTTTCAGTTTTTTTCCCCTTGTATCGGGATTGAAGTTGGGTGTCAAATTTGCAAGTTTTTCAACATTTTGACAATTGGAAATGGAATGGGAAGACAAGTAGATTTTGGGGTTAGAATTTGATGAGGTAAAGAGATAGGACAGAGGTTAAAGCCTCCTTGCATGGGCCAACCCCCAGTTATATTCTTGTACTACAGATGGTCCCCTGAGCATCCTGACTATGTCCAGGAAAGGAATTTAACGAGAAATACTTAAAGAAAGGGTTGCATTTATAACTGAGTTAGGTATTTACTACCTAACTAAACAAGTAGTGAATAGAGATTTAAAAAAAAAATAATGGCTTATTTTTACTTATTTTTCAGGTCCAAACTAAATGATATGATAGATGCTATTCCAAAAAGTAAAAAGAACAAGAGATGTCAGTTGCACTCCTTAGATACACACAAACCAAAACCTCTGGGGTAAGTAAAATTGAATACTAAGATCCTTTGTCATTGTTTAAGTTATAAGAGTTGATCTTATTTAGTAAAAGGAAAAAATATATTGCTAGTTTTATTGCATCAATAGGCTACACTGTAACACAGGTCAAAATAAATGTTTCTAGTTTAGTAGACCTTTTTGCGTTGAAACTAGGGTCTCTGTAGGTTTGATTTTTTTTTTTTTAATTTTTCTTTCCCTCATATATGTTTAAGAGGAAGGAACTTGATATCTTTGGAAATGTATGTAACCAGTATTGTTTTCAGAATACTATGTTATGCAGTAATCATAAAGACTTTTTTTGTCTTTCCCTTGGTTTCTCCCTAATAATTTATCAAAGAACTAAACAAAAAGATTCATGCATTTAAAAAAAGGGAAAAAAAGATTCATGCATTAGTCATAGTAATGTGTATTTCTATAACTAGTATTCAGTTTTCTTTTTAAGTAGGTTCAATAATACCTAAGGTATCTTTTGTCCCCATATGGCACAGTGTCACAGTTCCTTACTATAAAATTGCTAGGGTTGGGGCCATAAACTAAATGATAGAATTTGAGGGAGTTTCAAAAATGTGACTTGTTTTGCCAAGTATGACATGTAAAACTATACTTCTGAATTATTTTTTTAAAAATAAAAGTATGTCCTTATTAGAAGTGTGACACTATTTCTTAGTTATTTTCTTTCCTGAAAAAAATATCTGCATGACCAACCACCAACTGGTGGTATATTAATAATAATGGCAGGGTTTTTTCCCCCTAAACTCAGGAACAATTAAAATTTATTATAAAAATTGTCAAAAACAGGGGGCTAGAGCAATAGTACAGTGGTTAGGGCGTTTGCATTGCATGCGGCCGACCTGGGTTCAATTCCCAGCATCCCATATGGTCCCCTGAGCACCACCAGGAGCAACTGTCAAAAACATTGAAAAATAGGTTGAACTCTGTACGCTATGAATTTATTATACAAATATGCAAAAAATAGACTAGATTATATATGCTATGAATTTAGTATGCATGAACACACGTGCATGCGTGCGCGCCAACACACACACACACACACGCACATGCACACGCACACACATAGCCTTCATCCAGATTCTGTTCTATATTTTTGTTTTAAGTGCCATACCTGGTGGTACTCAGGGCTGACTCCTGGCACTGAGCTCATGATCACTCTTAGTGGTGCTTGGGAGACCAGATTGGGGTGTTTGGAATCAAACTGGGGTTGGCTGTGTGCAAGGCAAAAGCCCTCCCTGCTGTACTGCCTCTCCAGTCCAATGTTTTTTTCTATCTCCCTTTGCAGAAGTATGTATTTATTTTTTTGTCCCCACCCAGCAGTTCTCCTGGCTCTGCTCAGGGGAAGGGACCATATGTGGTGTTTGGGATTGAACCAGAGCCAGCCATATGTAAGGCAGGCGCCAACTCCCCGAATTATGTCTCTAGACCTGAAGTATTTTGAAGCAAGTCTCAGGCATGTGATTTTACACCCAAGTAGTTTCTTTAACTCTGATTTTTTTCTGTTCTGTTTATGTGGTGTCAGCACTTTACTACTCAGTTAGACATCCCTGGCCCTACATATTTTCTTACGTGTCCCTAAATATATGAGTATTTTCTTTCATAATACAGTCATTTTAACACTTTCTAATACCCTGTTGAAATTCAGATTTCTCCAAATGCCTCTAAAACTGCCTCTTACATTAATTTCTTTGAATCCAAATAAGAACCACACTCTGTGATGTCTAAACTGAGAATTTTCTGAACCCAGTAGAGTGTTCATTGTCTGGCCAGGGAAACAACTTAGGAGCCAGGGGCACATGACCTGCATGTGTAAGCACCCAAGCTCAATACTTTCTGCTGGGCCCTAGTATTGACCTTCTGACCTGATTGGCCAAGTATATTCTGGAGTACTCTCCTCCCCACAGTAAAGGGGTTATTATCGAAGTTTAGATTACCTAAAGAGGCTAAAGATAATTGCTTCATGCGTTGTAAATTTAGAGAAATTTGATGCTTCGAATGCAAAATTTAGTTTCTCTTCAGACAAAATCATGTCTTTACATGAATGATTAACTAAAACCACATAGAACACTGAATAACAAAAAACTTGCCTTCTCTTTTGTTTGTGAATATTCTTCGTTGAGGAACTAAAAAGCAGCACATCTACCAATATTTTGTACATAGGTGCTCATTGCCCCCTTCCTTCAAAAATCAGTCTGGTTAATCTTTTGATTCCATTTCCTCTAATTCTCAGTGATTTTCCTTCACCGATTGCCTACTTTTGTTGACATGAGCTGTGTTTCTTAGCTTTTTAACTTAAAAGCAAAAAATAAGCCTTCACAAAATTCCCATTTCAACTTCAGGCCTATCATAAGGGTGCCCAATGTTTAGAAAGTTGTTTGTTCAAAGATGAAGTAAGTATGGAATTAGTAAATAAGCAGTATCTAAGTTAGCTTCATATATTTACACATGCATATAGAGAGTAGACCAGAGAATCTTCATTGCTATGATTCATCTTGACTTTGAATGTTCAACATCAGTGTGTGCTGTTGTTACTGTCTATTCTATTCAGACTTTGTACAGGGCGATACTAGGTTTTAGCCTAGCAATAGGAACAATGCAGCTCAGCCTTCTTGGGACTGTTCTCTTATCAAATAATGCCAGGTTACTGTTTCTGGGAGTAAGTTTGAGATCTGAAAGGGAAGTCTAGGCTGGAGTTACAGTCCTATAGATGATGATTTCTTAGGAAATAGTACTTGAGATCACCTTGAGGAAGAGAAGAGAGTGTTGAGGATTTCAGTTTAAAACAGATTTCAGTTTAAAACAAGAACCCAGTAAAGAACTGAGAAAGTTGAGTAGAAGTAGGATGAGGCAAGGGAGAAGTGTGCTGCCGCTGGAGGGTCTGATCAGTTGTGTTGATCATCAGGACTCAAAAATGTCCCTTGAATACAGCCCTAGTGAGGTCATTGGTGATCTTAATGAGCAGATCTGTGCTTGGATGGAAGCAGAATTCATGTCAGAATGGGTTAAAAAGGTGAATGACGTGTAGGGCTATAATGAATTGAGCTCTGAATGGGGGAAGTGTGGCATTAGAACAGAGTAAGAAGAAAATCTTTTCCAGAAAATTTAATTTTGAAATAGTGATAATGAAGATGTTTTGTTTAAAGAAATTTTTAATAAAATACTGATTTTGAACTGTAGATTTTTTTTTTACTTTTAAGAAACAATGGTTTTTTTTGGGGGTCCCAAATCTAGCAGTGCCCGAGATTTAACCCCCTGGCTTCTGCACTCAGGGATCACTCCTGGTGGCCTGGGGACTGCATGTGGTGTCAGGTTGGCCACAGCAAGGCAAAGATTGAATTGTAGAAAATGCACATATATGTACATGTGTACATATATGCTATATATATATACATGTTTATATGTGTGTGCGTGTATATATATATGTTTTTTTTTTTTAGGATTCAGAAAAAATTTTAAGATAGAAGTTTAAAAAATACCAGCTTCCTCTGTGGTGTTAGTCTGGTGTTAGTTGGCAGCAACTCCTAGTGGTGCGAGCCTGATGATTCAGTCTTCTGACTTGTTCGCAGTTCTGGGGGCCACCAGAATTACCTTATTAGTGGGCCTTAAAATTTTCTTTTTTTATCTATGTGTCTTGATAGCACTGTAGCACTGTCCTCCCGTTGTTCATCAATTTGCTCGAGCGGGCCCAATAATATTGTGACATCTCTATTGTGATACTTATTGTTACTGTTTTTGGCATATTGAATACGCCATGGAGAGCTTGCCAGACTCTGCCATGCGGGCGGGATATTCTTGGTAGCTTGTCAGGCCCCAAGAGGGACGGAGGAATTGAACCTGGGTCGGCTGCGTGCAAGGCAAATGCCCTAACCGCTGTGCTATTGCTCCGGCCCTTTTTTTTATAAGTGTAAAAAAAAAAGGCTGGATCGCTTCTTTTTTTATAAATGTAAAGTTGTTGTTGTTGTTCTTTTGGTGTTTGGGCCACACTCAGCAATGCTTAGGGGTAACTGCTGGCTCTGCACCCAGGAATTACTCCCGGCACTGCATGGGGACTATATGGGATGCCAAGGATGGAAGCCAGGTTGACTGTGTGCAAGGCAAGCATCTTTCCTGTCCACTGTACTACTCTCCAGCTCCATGTAAAAATAGTTTTACATAGAGAAATACGAGAGGAGAGAGCTATGGAAACTTAAGTTTGAAAGTTACTAAGTTTTATGAGATTATGGCTCATGCAAGCATAATTTTAAAAAAGAAAATAAAGGAGAATAGAAGGATGATACAAAATGGAAAGTAGAAAGCAAATGTTATCTTTTTTTGTTGATGTTGCTTTTCTTCAAGACCACTGACTGAATTTTGATGATGTAGCCTTGAAGAGGGGAGTAAGGAGCTGATATTTTTGTATTATCTTGCATGGTGGGCAGGAGGATGAGAAATACATTTCTGGCTATATTGACTAGGTTAAGTCAACTTGGAGGTTTTTCTGTCTCAAGCATCCAAGGTATTGAATTTCTAGGACTATAGACAGACCTACAGAAGATCAGGCAGGAGCCAATAGTTCAGAATCATGAAAAATCAAGATGTTGAATGGAATACAGGTACACATTTCTCTTGGAAAACACATCTACAGCAAAACAGAATGCATGACCAGCATCACATAGAAACCTGTCGGGGAGGGATAGCCTAGGAGGTTTGTTAAAAATTATTTATATAGTATTTAGTAATTTAGGCTGTGTAAAGTGTTTTAGTATGGTATACTTAGTAAACGTAAATTTAAATTTATTAGATTAATGGATAATGCCCCATTTGTAAATGTGAAGGTAGATGGGCTAACTCTAAAACCACATTATATAGATGAAAGCTTGTTTGTATTTTCTATTTGTGGCTTTTTAAGTGAAATATAGTTAATTTTTTCAGCTCTTTTAACATGAAAATATTTCCTACTAAATTTGCTCATTGTCTATTAACCAATTGCTATCTTGATAAATGTAAATATTGTATCAGGTACATGTAATAGTAGAGAGGACATTTTTAATATATGAGCACATTTAGCATATTAATATGGTTAAAGTAAGTAATGATGTAGAAATTTGCTAACTTAATCTAATTTTAATGTGTTAAAGAATATTATTTTAACTTAGAGCATAGAAATTACTCCTTCAGATGATCTCAGTGTCACTAAGCTTTGTACTGTACTACAGTGAAGGGAGCAGTAGCAGTGTCAGTTCAGAGAAGTTAAGTACAGATAAGAGAAGTAGTGAAGACCACAGGAAGGACAGCAAGTGTAGGATCATTTTCCATTATGGACCTTTCCAGGGAACAGCCAGGTAAACTCAAGCAATCCTTTACTCTGCTTTTTAAAAATGTTTTATCCTTATGTATTCCTCCTGTTTGCTAATATTTGTTTCTTTCTGCAGAGGTTGTTGGATGGATGTGTGGGAACTAATGTCCCAAGAATGCAGGGATGAAGTAGTTTTAATTGACTCCAGTTGTCTTTTAGAAACACTAGAAACATACCTGCGAAAACACAGGTGAGTCTACAGGTCATTGACCTCCTTCTTAGAATGGTACTCTAGCTCTCCTCTCAGTACCTGGTTCTTGGCGGGATTAATGAGGAGGCAGGCAGGTCATTTATGGGTGACTCGGTGTTAGCTTTCTTGTGGTGAGCTAGCATTTCCTTTTTAATTTTTTTGCTTGTTAGTGTCAGGCCAGCCTTTCAAGAACAAACTGCCTGAATCAAGTAATGTGCATTTAATCACTTTGGAAACTATATTATTATTTTTGATAGTAGCTTGTCATGTCATTTTCACAATTAAATGGACTTTTAATTATATCCTATAGTTGTTAAGGCCCTAAAATAAATGGAATTTGCCTGCTTCATATGAAAGTAAAAGTAAAATTATTTCTAAAAGTGACTTTAGATATTTTTTACTAGAATACTACTTTGGAAAGTAATTTTCTTTTCTTTTTCTGGGGCGGGATGCGGTGAGTGGGGGCACGCCTAGAGTGCTCAGGGCTTATTCCTGGCTCTGCACTCAGAAATCACTCCTGGTGTGGCTTGGGACCATATAGGATGCCAGGGATTGATTTTAGTTTTTCATGTGCAAAGAAAATGGCCTATTCATTGTCCTGACTCTCCAGACCCCCTACAGGAGTTCTCTAAGTGTCATTAACATTTGGAAATTCATAAGGGAGGGCTCCTGCTGTAGGAGAGGAACTGGAAGGGAGCCCTCTAGAAATGGTGTTCATGGGGGGGAGAGTTGTACTAATTTGAACTTAAACAAATTTGTCACGTGTTGGATTTGTGTTTGTATGTTCTTTGACTATGGGACAAATTATTATATTCACACTTCCAGAAAAAGCCTTATATGAATGATAAAAAACTGACAGTATGAAGACTGTTTTATATGACAGTGTGCTAATAGCTTGACTTAATGATAGATTTATTTAGAAATTTTCTTTTTACAGTTACAAACCTTGTTGTTTGCCTGTTTTGACTGATCACACTTGAGATCAGGAATGTTGATTATTGGAGTTATGAGAAGAAGATTATATAGATGTAAAACAGAAATGTGCAGGTCTTTTTTACTTATTCCAAAAGGAGCGAATCCACCCAGCTTTCTCAGTTGTTAGAGCATGAAACTATTTCAAAAGGAATTGATCCTTCTATTCAACATCAATTGGACAACAACAACAAAAAATTATATTTATAATGTAAATGACTATAAAACTAATATACTGGATTTTCTTATAATGAATAGTTGTAGAATAGTTGTAGTTGTGTTTCGGGGATCTGTGTTTTATATTTATAAGCAGATTTCATTTTATAAGTCAATGAGAAGAGTATAATCACTGGTCCCCTTAAAATTTTTTTAAAATTCATATGTTAAGGGGGCTGGAGTGATAGCACAGTGGGTAGGGCGTTTGCCTTGCGTGCAGCCGACCTGGGTTCAATTCCCACCATCCCATGTGGGCCCCTGACCTACTGCCAGGAGTAATTCCTGAGTGCAGAGCCAGGAGTAACCCCTGTGCATCGCCAGGCGTGACCCAAAAAGCCAAAAAACAAAACAAAAAAATTCATCGGTCACGGTCACGGTTCTCCTGTTGTTCATCGATTTGCTCGAGCGGGCTCACTAACGTCTCCATCATTAGACTTGTTGTTATTGTGTTTGGCATATCGAGTACGTCACGGGTAGCTTGCCAGGCTCTGCCGTGCGGGCGAGATACTCTCGGTAGCTTGCCGGGCTCTCCGACAGGGGTGGAGGAATCGAACTGGGGTCGGCCATGTTCGCTGTGTGCAAGGCAAACGCCCTACCGCTGTGCTATCGCTCATATGTTAAACTATTGTTATACTGTCACTGTCACTGTCCTCCCATTGTTCATCGATTTTTCTTGAGCGAGCCCAGTAACGTCTCCATTGTGAGACTTTGTTGTTACTGTGTTTGGCATATCGAATACATCACGGGTAGCTTGCCAGGCTTTGCCATGTGGGCGAAATACTCTCGGTAGCTTGCCAGGCTCTCCAAGAGGGGTGGAGGAATCGAACCCGGCTCAGCTGGGCCTATTGAAAAATTTTTAGAAATCATTTATTATAGTTTTCATATAGTTTTTAAAAATTTGTTACTGTGTCTGGCATATCGAATACTCTCGGTAGCTTGCCGGGCTCTCCGAGAGGGGCGGAGGAATCGAACTCGGGTCGGCCATGTTGGCCACTTGTAAGGCGAACGCCCTACCGCTGTGCTATCGCTCCAGCCCTATACTTTTACTTTTAAAAATTATTTTAATGAATCACTGTGAGATACAGTTACAGATTTACAAATTTTGGTGATAAAATTTCAATCATACAGTGATAGAGTATCCCTCCACCAGTGCCCTCCACCAATGTTTCCAGTATCCCTCCCGTTTCCATGTAATTTTAAATTCTTTACTTCTTGTTTATAGTTCTGTGGAAGTAAACTTATTAAACTAGTTTTTATTACTGGTACTCTATAACATTCAACCGTTTTTTCTGTCTTATTTTTTGGTTGGGGCACTCCTGACCCCGTTGCTCAGGAGCTGCTGAACTGGAGCTGGCATAATGCAGGGCAAATGCCTTCCCCCCAGACTATCTCACTAGCCTCAACATTTGACTTGTATTGAAGTTCATTTCTTGGGGCTGGAGTGATAGTACAGTGGGCAGGGTGTTTGCTTTGCATGCAGGTTTCCCAGGTTTGATCCCTGACATCCCATATGGTCCCGGTATACTGCTAGGAGTAAAATTTCTGAGTGCAGAGCTAGGAGTAACCCTGAGCATTGCCAGGTGTAACTCAAAAAGCTCTGAAGACTGGGAAGCCTTCATATGAATTAAAAACAAATGAATTAAAAACTTCCATCACGGTCCTCCCGTTGTTCATCGATTTGCTCGAGCAGGCCCAGTAACGTCTCCATCATGAGACTTGTTGTTACTGTGTCTGGCATATCGAATACGTCACGGGGAGCTTGCCAGGCTCTGAAGTGCAGGCGAGATACTCTCGGTAGCTTGCCGGGCTCTCCAAGAGGGGCGGTCTTAACATATGAATTTTTTAAAAAGCCAAAAAAAATGAAAGAAAGAAAAGAACATTTAATGACTTGTAGTGCCAGAGGGTCAAATGCAGGCCTCTCCAACATGAAAAGCATGTGCTCCATCCCATTGAGTTTTTTCCCTGCCCCTCAGATTTGTTTACAAAAATCATTTGGGAGTCTGGGGAGATAGCTCAAAGTGTTCAAGCACATACGTTGCATGTGGGAAGTCTTGGTTCCATTACCAGTGATCTATCATTGGGAGCAATCTCTGAGCACCAGGTTAGGAGTGCACCACAAGGTGTGGCCCCCAAACCAAAAATGAATAAATAATTTTGGTATTATGGATGTATTCAGGGGCCAAGCTGTAGTACAGTGGTACATTTGTCTTGCTTGTGGCTGAGCTGAGTTTGATCCTGACACCCACGTGGTCCACTTAGCACTGCCAGGAGTAATTCCTGAGTGCAGAGACAAGAGTGACCCCTGAGCCTTGCTGCTGTGACCCAAAAAGCCAAAAAAAAAAAGGGTGGAAAGAAGGGATTTACAAGTGATATAAAAAAGAATGGATTATCAGATTATCAATTGCTTACACTCCTTAAGGGGGTAAGTTTGAGTTAAAATATTTTTTTCAAATTAAAAAAAAATTGGTTTTACTTCACACTTGATGATGTTACTCCTGGCTCTGCATTCAGGAATTACTCCTGGTGGTGCACGGGGGGGACCATATGGGATACCAGAGATCGAAGCTGGGTCAACTTCATTGCAAGTGTACCTTCTGTAACATCACTCCAGCCCCAACAGATTCACTTCAGTACAAGTTAAATGGGCTGGAGCGATAGCACAGTGGTAGGGTGTTCGCCTTACACGCGGCCAACATGGCCGACCCGAGTTCGATTCCTCCGCCCCTCTCGGAGAGCCCGGCAAGCTACCGAGAGTATTCGATATGCCAGACACAGTAACAACAAAGTCTCCAATGGAGACGTTACTGGGCCCGCTCGAGCAAATCGATGATCAACGGGAGGGCCTTTACCTTTACCTTACAAGTTAAATGTTGATGCTAGTGAGACAATATGGCGGTCAGGCAGAGGCAAATTGGACCCATTTATTTTTTCTTTCAAATTAATGACTGTTTGATTTCTGAAATAAATTTTTCATCCTCTGTCTGCTCTTCTTATGTCATATTATGCACATTTAAATTTAAGCCATACATCTTTGTTTATGTTATGTCTCTATGTTGAGACTAATTTTTATTTTTGCTCCTCTTTAACCCAGTGCCTAACTATTGACATATGGAAATTTTGTAATAAAATATGTTTCAAGGTTTCCAGCTGAAGATGCCACTTCTTTTGGATACTGAAATGAGAGGGATTCTGAGTCATTCATTAGTTTGTAGTTTCTTTGTTTCTAATCTGAACAAATGAGAATGAACCTTAGAGTGGAGATGTTTGCATCCTTATGCTTTGTGAAAAAATGTCTTAATTTACCTCATTGTCTAGGACTTTGTCCTTCTGTAGTTTGAAAATTGCTTGTCGGTAAAGGTCTAACTACACATGTAATCCCTTTAGCTGTGTTTTCCTTCCTTATGAGTGTCTGTTTTCAGTGTGATGGAAGGGGTTTTGGGGCCTCCGCCGAAATGTGAGAGCCAGCAGGGCCACCCTGCACAATTCCAGGGAGACATGAAGTGTTGGGGTTTGAATTCAGGGCCAGCCTGAGTGAGAGAGGCATAGATACCAGACCTTTGAGTTACCTGCCTTTATTTTAAAATACTTCAAAAATTTTAGAAGATCAGAGTGTAATTTTTCTAGTACAGTGTTACATTCTGCAGTCCTTACTTTTGAAGTTTTTCTTTTCGACAGGTTTTGCACTGATTGCAAAAACAAAGTGCTCCGAGCGTACAATATCCTTATCGGTGAGCTCGATTGCAGCAAAGAGAAGGGCTACTGCGCCGCGCTCTATGAAGGCTTACGCTGCTGTCCCCACGAGCGGCACATCCACGTCTGCTGTGAGACTGACTTCATTGCACATCTTTTGGGTCGTGCTGAGCCAGAGTTCGCAGGAGGGTATGAGTATGTAATTTGCTAGAATGGGCGATCTAGCGCTTTGCTTCATTTTATTACTGAAAATTTATTTTCATCACCTTTTGTCTTCGAACATACACATGTAGAGTTGGAGTGCACATATATAGAAAGCATTGCTTTAAGACCCACATTACCTGAATGATAACGGGAAACAACTCTGTGGGGTTGATTTCAGTTCTTTGCTCCTGTTGCTCTTGTTGCTTGAAGGCAGGCTTTTTTCCCCCTTTTTTTGGCTTGCATTACAGATTCTGTTTTTTCTTTTTCGTTTTTCTTTTTTGGCTCCCCCTGCCAGTGCTCAGGACTCCTCCCAGCTTGGTTCTCTGAGATCACTCCCTGGTGGTGTTTGCGGGACCAAATGGCGCTGGGGGATCAAACTTGGGACTCCAGCATGCAAATCTTGTGCACCAGCTCTTTGAGCTGTCTCCCTGATTCAGATGATCATTTTCATTTGAAAATTATTTTACTCTTTTCCATCCATCCATTTCCATGTTTAAATTTTGTTCCTGATTTTATTTTTAGCTTGGAAACTGTGACCATCGCAGCAGAGATTAAGGAATCTTACGAACTGTGTATGTTGTTGAATGATGTAGGAATTTAAGCTTATCTCTGGGGCTAGGGGAGTAAGTCAAGTGGTAGAGCCCATGCTGAGTGTAAAGCCCCAAGTTCCATTGTCATTGCTGGCAATTGGCCCTATTAGAAAGATATTACTTCTGATTTCTTTTTTTTTTTTCTTGGGGGGTGGCGGGGGATATGTTAGGGGGGATACATTCATCACACCTGCTGGACCTCAGGGTTACTCCTGGTTCTGTGCTTATGAGTCACTCCTGGCAAGCTTGAGGGACCAAATGGGATTTCCAGGGATCAAATCCAGGTTGGCCTCCCGCAAGGCAAGCACCCTATCCACTGTACTATCACTCCACACCACCCCCACTCCTTTATTTTACTTTGTTTCGTTTTTGACCACACCCAATGGTACTCCAGAGTTACTCGTGGCTCTGCACTCAGAAATTACTCCTGGCAGTGCTCAGGGGACCATATGGGATGCTGAACTACAGGCAAGGCAAGGGTTGTACCCACTGTACTATGGTTCCAGTCCCCTTTGTCTTCTTTTTTTTTCCTTGTTCTTTTTTCGGGGGTTGTGGGTTTACTGGAGAGGAGTGGTGAGGCCATGTTCAGGGGGACAGGTACCACTCGTGTTGCCATTCAGTATTAGGGCCCAGTGTAGTGCTGTGTGGGCCTGCAGTGCTGTGGACCTCTGGGACCACACCTACTCATTTGGTGCTAGGGATTAAACCCAGAGCTGGCTCGTGAAAAGAATGTGCCCTAATTCCTCTACTATTTCCCTGGCTCTTGGATTCATTTTGAAAATAAAATCACAAAAAAGTAGTCCTCAAAGACATTGGCCTTTTTCACATAATTTTTTTTTGATGTACCATCTCTAACTTGAGTGCCCACTTTCTGCTAGATCTTTATAGTACAAAGACTTTGTTATTCCCTGTTGTGCTAGGAATCCAGTCCAGGGCCTTGCACATGCCAGGAATATGCTCTGCTGGTGAGCTGTAGCCCCCTGCCCCCAAAGACTTCCTTTATCATGGAAATTTTGTGAACACTTTCGGTAAAGATTAGCTTAGAGGGCCTCTCCCATGATTGAATCACTCTTTTATTAATTTTTCCTCTCTGTTTCACCTCAAAAAAGGAGGGGAACCAGAGATATATCTCAATGGTAGAACATTTGCCTGGGTTCAATATTTGACACTTAAGAAAAAGGGGGAAAATATAAACATTTACTATCATTGGATAGTGAGGCAAGTGTTGTATTTACTATGACCTGGAATACCTCCCCCCCACCCCCCACTCCTACTCTCCCAGTGGAAGCATGAGACTGAAGATTTTTCCTTGCTATGAACTGGGGAGTTAGTCTCTTCTCTCTCTCTCTCTCTCTCTCTCTCTCTCTCTCTCTCTCTCTCTCCCCCCCTCTTTTCCTCCTTCCTCTCTCTCCCCTTTCTCCTTTCTCTTCCCTTCCCCCCCCTTCCCTCTCTCCTTCCTTCCCTCCCTCTCAGACACTTAAGACTTGTCTTTGGAGCTAGAGCAATAGCACAGTGGGTAGGGTGTTTGCCTTGCACGCTGCCGACCCGGATTTGATTCCCAGCACCCCATATCGTCCCCCAAGCACCGCCTGGAGTGGTTCCTGAGTGCAGAGCCAGGAGTAACCCCTGAGCATCGGCTGGGTGTGACCCAAAAAGCAAAAAACAATAACAACAACAAAAAAAAAACCAAAAACACTTGTCTTTGCTAAGGAAATCAATATGTTCTTGAATTCCCTTATTTTTATTTACTTGTTTTGTTCATCTGATAATGATCAGGTATTCCTCCTGGCTCTATGCTCAGGAATTAGTCCTCATAGTACTTGATGGTGCTGGAGATGTTCGCTGTGTGCAAGGCAAATGCTATACTCTCTCCAGCCCTGAATTACCTTATTTTTGACAAAATAGGACTGTGTTCTACTATCATGTCTCATTGTTTATATTGGTTATATACCTATATACATGTATGTTTTTTATATATGCATATAAACAGTTTACATTCAATCTCAGTGTATGTGTAATATTACACCCATATTGAGTTTGAATGTTTAGCTCTCTCGTGATTAATTTCTAACGTATAACACAATTATGCCAAATTGTGTTTTAAACCTAAATTCGTAGATGCTATCCATATTTTACTGTTTTAGTTAAGAGCACTGGAAATATGATTTACTCTTTTTAGGCGAAGAGAAAGGCATGCTAAGACAATAGATATAGCTCAAGAAGAAGTTCTGACCTGTTTGGGGATTCATCTTTATGAGAGACTACATCGAATCTGGCAAAAACTACGAGCAGAGGAACAGACATGGCAGATGCTCTTCTATCTTGGTGTTGATGCTTTACGCAAGAGTTTTGAGGTAAGGACAGTGCCCTTCTGTGGTCAAAGCATGGTACAGAATGCTTTGATTTGGTATTGGGGGCTCCCAAGTGGGGCAAAGTAGATTGAGGGTCCTTGGTCATTCTCATCCAGCCAGGTTGGCAGTTCAATGGAAGGGCCTGAGGATCTGATGCATTATCTGAGCCATTCCAGCAGTGCTTAGGGAACCTCTGGAACTGTCCTCAGTGATGCCCAGGGAATGCTCTATTGCTGGTGCTGAAGCAGTTTGCTATTTGCAAGACATGTGTCTAAACCTTGTACTGTTCCTCCAGCCATTCTTAATATAAGCTGTAATTCTAACCTAACCTTTCAGTACCTGGAAAGAAAAGAAAAGAAAAAGAAAAAAGAAAGAAAGAAACGTAAATCGTTTAGTTAGGTTAAATAGTGTTCTTGTTGAGGGAATAAATTAAGATTTACATTGATGTATTAATATTTTGAAATTTCAGACTAGAATATTGTTTTGGAATAAGGTAAGGTAAAGGTAAAGGTAATGGCCCTCCCGTTGATCGTCAATTTGCTCGAGCGGGCCCAGTAACGTCTCCATTGGAGACTTTGTTGTTACTGTGTTTGGCATATCGAGTACTCTGGGTAGCTTGCCGGGCTCTAGTGTCTATAAGTACATCTTTCTGTTTTGTCTTGTTTGACTTTTATTTTTGGGCCACACGCGGCAATGCACCGGGCTTACTCCTTGCTTTCTGCCCAAGGATTATTCCTGGTGAGCTCAGGGACCATATGGGATGCTGGAGATTGAACCTGGGTTGGCTGCATGCAAGGCAAGCATCCTACCTGCTGTACTTACTACCTCTTCAGCTCCGGTTTAAAAAAAAAAGAAATTTAGGCCATACCCTGGTGTGCTCAGTTCTTGCTTCTGTCTCAACCTACTCTCGGTGATCACTCCTGGTGGTGCGGAGGGAACAGTATGTGATGTTGGGGTTGAACCCGTGTTGACTGTCCAAGGCAAGGCAAGGCCTTTCCTGCTGAGCTATTGCTCCAGCCCTACTAGTGTATTTGTAACACATCTTTTATGAACTTGAAATTTAAGCATTTTTTCCTTTGTGTGTGTGTTTGGACAAACTACCGAATGTAACCTGCCCACACGGCAGAGTCTGGCAAACTCCCCGTGGCGTACCCAATATGCCAAATACCAGTAACAATGAAGGGTCTCATTCTCCTAACTCTGACAGAGCCTTGAATATGGCACTTTTTAAAAAACCTCAGGGCTAGGACGAAGGAGATGTTACTGGGGCCTGCTCGAGGCAATCGACGAATAACAGGATGGTTGTGATCGTGTGTGTGTGTGTGTGTGTGCGCGCGATTTTTTTTCAAAGCCAGTATGTGGTATTATTCAAAGTAAACATGAGACATGAGAATTTTCATAGAAAATATGAACATTTTAACCAGTGTTGACTGAATTTTGTTTTTATAATAGATGACTGTGGAAAAAGTACAGGGTATTAGCCGATTGGAACAACTTTGTGAAGAATTTTCAGAGGAGGAACGAGTAAGAGAACTCAAGCAAGAAAAGAAACGCCAAAAGCGGAAGAATCGACGAAAAAATAAATGTGTATGTGATATTCCTACTCCCTTACAAACAGCAGATGAAAAGGAAGTAAGCCAAAAGAAGGTAGTATTCATTAATACTGACTGTAAATGCCTACATTTTATTATTTTGGGGTTTCTTGATTTTTGTGTTCTTGTGTTTCTTGATTTTTGTGTTTTTGTGTTTCTTGATTTTTGTGTTTTTGGATCTGTGTACCTTACCTCCAGCTGTGGTTTGTATTTGTGTTGTTTTTGTTTTGTTTCTGGGCCATACTATACTGTGCAAAGGGCTTCCTCCTGACTTTGCACTTAGGGATTAGTCCTGGTGGTGCTCAGGGGACCACATGGGGTGCTGGAGATCAAACCTGGGTCTGCTGTATGCAAGGCAAGCGCCTGACCTGCTGTATTATTGCTTCAGCCCCAGTTTTTTAAAGCACAGTTCATTGTGGAACCTGACACCCTACAGATGTCCTTAAAGTTTGTCTGTTAAAGTCTGTCTTGCATTTTGAATTTATCCTTTACTGTGCATGATTCTGTAACATATATTGGTCATATGGTTTACTGACTCGTAGATCTTCCCAGATGTTGACATTTCATTATATAATAGCAGATGATCATGTAAAACTACGACAAATGTCATCCGGGTGGCCTTTCATTTTGTTTGGTTTTCTGTTTTGATTAAATTATTTTGAAACACTCACCAGCTTGCTAAGGGGCGACTTCCTACGGGGTGCACTGGAGTCAAGCCACGACTGGTAGGGATCAAACCCATGCAAAGCATACTCCAGCTCTTGGAATTGTCTCATGGCCCTTTAACTTTTACCTATATTTTTCCTTCTTTGTTGCTGTGATGTCTGGTTGCAGCTGGCTAAAGACCACACCCCTTGTAGTGCACCAGGGAACAACACAGCAGTGCAGGGGACTCACACTTGGGTGTGGGGAGGTACTCATGGCTTCTCACCTGCAGTTCAGGCACCTTAACACTAGCCACAGTCAGGACCCTCGAAAGGGCCTGAGGTTCAGGGAAGCTTCAGGCTCACTGTGCTGGTGTATACAAATTTTCAGGGTTTGGGTTGTAGTTTAAAAAGTTTTGAGTTTCTTCATTAACAGAACATTGGGTTTGGGGGAAGGGCAGGGTGGGTGGCCATACCTGACTGAGCTCACAGCTGCTCTTGGCTCTGCCCTCAGGGATCACTCCTGGCATGGCTTGGGAACCATGTGTGGTGCCAGGATCAATGGGTCAGCCTTGTGCAAGACCGGGCCTTAAGTCCATACTGTTGTTTCTGGCCCCATTAACCAGTATTTGAAAGAACTTTTTGGTGGTGTTAGGATTACTTTCAGGGTTGTGCCTATGAGAGGCATGCTTTCTCCCACCAAGTGACATCCTCGTTGTTTCCCTTGAACTGGCAGGCTAACTTTATTTTTAACTTCATTTAACTTTTTTGGGTCACACCTGGGTGATTCTTAGGGGCTGTGTACTCAGGTGTCGTTATCTTCATTTTTGTGAAAACATCTTAAATACGCAAGTTTAAATAATGATAGTTGGTCTTATTAACTTATTTAGGATTGGGGGCCACACCTGACAGTACTCAGGGCTTTCTGGCTCTGCACTCAGGCATCATTCCTGGCAGGGCTCAGGGAATTATATGGAGTGCCAAGGATCGAGGGTGGGGTGCCAAGTGTTCACAGGTTGGCTTGATGCGAGTAATTGCCCTGCCTGCTGTACTATCTCTCCAGGCCTCTCTCATTTATATGAAATGGGTATTTCAGGATGAAGACAATGAGGTGACTTTGAAAATGAAATAGTTTTGAGACCTGGAGAGACAGTACAGGGTTAAGGCACTTGGCTTGCATACAGCTGGTAGTTGGCACCACCTATTGGTCCCCCAAGCACCAGCACCAGTGGCCCCTGAGCACTGTGGGAACCCAAGGACTAAACAAACAAAAAAACAATTTAAGTAGTTGCGCTCACTTTTCTCTAAAGACAAGCCTTGTGCTTTGGTACACAGCAAAAAGCCTGACATACTTCTCTAAAAGCCATCTGCTCCTGGGTTAAAATGATATTTAATAAAATGTTCTTACTGCTTCATGATTTGCTTGACAAGTGAAGAATATAATACTAGTTCATACACTTTTTTTAATTTAATTTTTTTTTATTTTAATGTAGGAGTATTGCTATTTATTCAGCCATTGATTAGGCTGATTGAATTGGGCATGAACTCCACCTTACTTTTATTTTCTTTAGATCATACACTTTAATTGCCAGTTATTATTACTGTACCTTGATGTGTGCTAAAAATCAAGAACTGTTCTCATCATTACTTTTGTACTATTGGTATGTCAATATAGTGAATAGGACAAATTATGTTTTATTGTCATCGTCAACATTGTTTTTACCTAGAGCATTCCTGGGACCAGGAAATCACCTTTATGTTTGTTATGGGGCCACACTTGGCAATGATCAGGGCTTATTCCTGGTTCTGTCTACAGGAATCATTCCTGGTGGTACTTGAAGAATCATATGTGGTGCTGGGGATTGAACCCAGATCAGCTGAGTATAAGACTAGTATCCTACCCACTGTACTAGCTCTCTTGCCCTGCCCTTTTTTTTTTCTTTTTCCCCAAAAAAACTTGATTTTGGAGGACATCTGGCAGGGCTGGGGACCATGCAGTGCCAGGAATTAGACTTGGGCCTCCAGCATGCCAAGTGTGCATAAAACATAGTCGCAGTTTGAGCATCTTTTCACCTTAGGAGAATACCTTTGAGATTTGCTTTAAGGGCGGGAGAGATAGTACAAGGGTTTTAGGCTCTTTTCTTGCATATGGATGACCCAGGTTCGATCCCGGGCATCACATGATTCCCAGATCACTACCAGCATTAAGCCAGGAGTAAGTCCTGAACACTGCCAGGTGTGGTCCAAACTCCTCCCCCTAAGTAAATGAGACCTGCTTTATCTTGGATTTGGCAAATACCACTAACTTTTATATAATTATTTGCAAAGGGGAACGACATATAATTATATGAGTTAAAATAGGTATTTTAAAATACAAAATATTTTTTCTCTTTTAAGAAATTCCCTCCCTCCCTTTTTCTTTTGCTATTGAATTGATTGGGGTCTCATGCATGCCTGGCTGTGGCACTGACAGATTTTTGTTTTGCTATGGTGCTCACCCAACTTTGCGTATCAGTTTGTGGTACTTGTGCATATACTCTCCAGGGTAAGCACTTTGTTACCAGTGACTCTTGTCTTGATTTTGACCATGTCCTTTGGGTCTTGGTGGTATCTCCTGGTTGTGCTCCAAAACTTGTGCCCCAGCCATTTGAACCATCTTTGTGGCCCTATACTCTTTTTTTAATTTTTAGATTTGGGGGCCATGTCCAGAGGCACTCAGGGATCACTCCTGGTGGTGTTGGGAAGTGGGGGTTGGCCACACGCAAGACAAATGCCTTGAAAATGTTTTTCAGGGGCATGTAAAGATACCTCTTACTGATTAATATTAAGAAAATTAAAATGTAGCCATTATGGGCTGGAAAGAATATTTTTTTTTTACCATTAATATTGATCCTTATAGGAAACAGACTTCATTGAAAACAGCTGCAAAGCCTGTGGCAATACTGAAGATGGTACTAGTTGTGTAGAAGTAATTGTTACCAATGAAAACACATCATGTACTTGTCCCAGCAGTGGCAATCTTTTGGGGTCACCTAAAATAAAAAAAGGTAAGTAAATAGTTAAATTGGTTATTACTGAAGTATCATTAACAACATTAGCCTCAGACAAATAATGTAATTATTTCATATTTATGTATATTCTCATATTAATATAAAAGTTTTTGTAACATCTCTTAACATAGAATTTTGAGGGTATTTTTGAGAGGGGGGACACATCTAGAGGTGCTCAGGGCTTATTCCTGACTCTGCAATTAGGGATCACTTCTGGCAGGGGTAGGGGTACCAGAGGGGTACTGGGGATTGAGCCTGGATCAGCCACATGCAAGGTAGTGCCTTACCCACAGTACTATTGCTTGGACCCAGAATTTTATTTCTTCGTCTTTTTGGTGACATAGAATTTTTGAACTGCTTCATTGCACCAAGAATACCTATAACTTATTAATACACTACTTTTACTTTATGGTGTTTGTTTATTATTTGACAGCATCAACAATAAAACCCTATAAATTGCTAACCCAATTTTCATTGGCTAATTTACTTTCTACTTTTGATAAGCTATCAGTTTTCACTTTTTTTTTGTGGTGGGTTCATCTTTTCAATACATTTATTGGTATATTAATTGTAACTCTTATTTATTTTCAGGATTATCTCCACACTGTAATGGTAGTGATTGTGGATATTCATCTAGCATGGAAGGGAGTGAAACGGGTTCTCGGGAGGGTTCGGATGTTGCCTGCACTGAAGGCATTTGTAATCATGATGAACATGGTAGGTCCAGATGAAGTTTCCCAAATACTTCTTTTGCATGGCTAATAATGTAAAGCACACAAATAAGAGATGATTGATTTTTGTAGGGGATGACTCCTGTGTTCATCATTGTGAAGATAAAGAGGATGATGGTGATAGTTGTGTTGAATGTTGGGCAAATTCAGAAGAGAACAACACCAAAGGAAAAAATAAAAAGAAGAAAAAGAAAAGCAAGATCTTGAAATGTGATGAACATGTAAGTGGGAGGTGTGGCAGTGAGATTTTTATTTTTTTGGCTTGTTTTTGTTTTCAGCAGTGCTCAGGGGACTCAGGGATCCCTCCTGATGGTACTTGACCCGGCTGTGCAAGCCCTAGAAAGTGCTGTGGCCCCACAGTCTGGGACCCACCAGGCCCACAGGGCAGCGCCAAGAGGGGTAGGATATGCAGTGTTGGGGACTGAAAGGTGGGTCAAAACTGGGCCTCTCAGCACCTATGTGCAAAGCATATGCTCCATCCCTTGAGCTATCTAACTTGATAATTTGAAATTGTTGCATTTTCTTTTTATCTGTGGATCCGTGGCATCAGGGAGCGAACTATAGTCAGCTACATGTGAGGAAAGTGCCATAGCTCTGAACTATTTCTCTGACTTCCTGTCTTAATTATTAAACCTTTGCTATTGAGTAGAGAACAGTTTTCTTCCTTGGAGTGGCAAGTGTGCATGCATACCTGCTAGAATTTATTTGTTATAATGAATGCTTTATTTGGTTCCGTCAATTACTCATTATGTATATCTGTGGTGTGTGAGAGAGTGAGAGATGTGATCATTTGTCCTGTCAGTTTTTAAAACATAAGCTGTTTCAAAAATCAGTTTTTTATTGTTTTTGGTTTGCGGGCCATACTCAGGGATACTCAGGGCTTACTCCTGGCTCTGCACTCAAGAGATCATACTTGGTGGGTTCAGTACCGTAGTGGGTGCTGGGGATTGAACCCAGGTTGGCAGCATGCAAGGCAAGCACCTTACCTGCTATACTATTACTCCAGCCCTCAGTTTTACTCCAGCCCTCAGTTTTATTCTTTGATAATACTTTTAAGTTGTATTGTCTGTGATCTTGAAAAGTTGCTTGACATAGTTTTCCCATTTATAAAATGGAAAAAAGTTCCAATCACAATTACATATGTAAAAATGAAACAATATTGATGACTTAACATAACCAGCTGCTTTTATTCAATATTTCCCCTAAGAATTTAACATACTAGTACTAAAGATACAGTAACAGTGGGTGGGCACTTGCTTTGCACATAGCTGACCAAGGTTCAATCCCCAATTCTACTGAACACCTCTAGGTGTGCCAGAGGGGAAAAAATTTGAACATACTTTCAGGGTATACTTTGGGAGAAGAGGAGATCTGTGAAGGATAATCATTCTTACTCTTTGCTTTTATTTTCCTGGGAACTCTTTATTGTGATTTTAGATCCAAAAGCTTGGAAGCTGTATTACAGATCCAGGTAATCGAGAGACCTCAGGAAATCCCGTGCACACAGTGTTTCACCGAGACAAGACCAAAGATGCACATCCTGAAAGCTGTTGCAGTTCTGAAAAGGGTGGGCAACCCCTGCCGTGGTTTGAGCATAGGAAAACTGTACCACAGTTGGTAGAACCCACAGAAACATCATTTGGTCCTGATTCTGGAAAAGGTGCCAAGAGCTTAGTTGAACTCCTTGTAAGTAAATCATGATATTTTGTCATGTGTAGCTGTTTGTTCACCTGGGTATATATGGGAGGGCACAGTATTTATGAGTTTAAAGTTGTGGGTAGGGGAGTGTTTATGAAATTGAGAATAGGGAGATGTAGGTCAGCAATAGAGCACTTTCCACTTCCTCTTTCGCAAACCTAGAAGAGACCAGTTGGAAAAGGAATAGAATTAGTATTGTGTCCAGCAATCTCCTTTCTTAAAAGAGGGCTCCCATAAGCAAACTGTCTCGCTGATGGCCAATTGTGATAGCCACCCTCCTATATTTAGAGAGTGTATAGAATCCGACAGGAGCTCATGCTCGTCGTTATGAATTATCATGTAGGATAAAAGTATCATTTGATTTGGAAAATCTTCTGTAATTGATTCAAATTTTGATATGTCAGATAAATTATGCCTGTTTCTATGTGGTCTAGTTCATGATTTGTGGAGGAATGGGGGTGGGTACAGGAGGAGAAAGGTGGTGTTTTTGATTTAGTAAATACTTCCTAATGGAACCACATCCTTTACTGGTTTTTCTTTTTTTTTTTAATGTGCTTATAAAATCCTATTGGTAATTTTTGGTATTTTATTATTTTGTTTGGTTGGTTTTGTGGCCACATCTAGCAATGCGCATGCCAGGGGTCCCAGGTATTGAACCATGTACAGCGAGCACCCTACATGCTGTACTATTTCTCTGGTCCCTTACTCTTTTCTTAGTAATGTAGAAATTTATCTTTTGATGGGGGCCACATCAAGTTGTGCTCAGGGCTTATTCCTGACCCTGTGCTCAGAGATCATTCCAGACAGGGACAGGGCTTGCGGGGGGGCTTTGTGTGGTGCTGGGGATTAAACCCAGCTGCCTGCAAGGAAGTGCCTTACCCTGCTGCACTGTCTCTGATTCTGTAATTTATAAGCTTTTTAAGAGGTTTTATTTAATTTAGAGATTGAATCCTCAACTAGGATTAATTGGAAATAAGTCAGTTATCTAAAATGTTGTAATGAGTTACGGGCATCTTATCATTGATTTTTTTTTTTTTTTTAAGAAAGCGGTACTGTTTTCAGGTTTATTGGTTTCCCTTGACAAATTATAGAATCAAGAGTTTTAAATTCCAAGTTTGGTTACTAGGTTTTGGGACCACACCCAGGGGAGCTCAAGGCTTACCCCTGACTCTGCTCAGGGATTTTTTTTTTGGGGGGTGGGGTTTGTTTGGGGGATCATAATACGATGTCAACCTTGGTCTGCCTCGTACAAGGCAAGTGCCCTACTTGCTGTACTATTGTTTTAGATCTTTTATTGTTTTGTTTTTTGAGCCATATCCAGCGGTGCTCAGGACTTACTCCTGGATCTGAGTTCAGAGACCATTCCTGGCAGGGCTTAGGGACCCATATCTGGATTAAACCTGGGTCTATTGTACGCAAGGCAAGTGTTCTACCCACTAGACTATTGCTCTGGCCCTCGGTTGGTTTTAATTCTTTCTAAGGATATGATTATTCTAGAAGCATTTTGATTAAAAGCTTTATGTGGCTGGATTGATGTGAAAAAAAGGTAGACTGCTATCATTTTTAGCTACATTCCATAGTGGCACTTTGTGTTTTTTTTTTTTCCTTTTTATATTGGGGTTAGAGTTTTAACTTTAGTATTTTAGTTATGATTAAGAGTAGGGTTAAATTCAGGCTCAGGATTAGGGTTAACATTAGAGTTTGGGTTAGGATTAGGGTTGGGTTAGGATTAGGGTTCAGCATTTTGTAGTTTTAAACCAGTCTTAACTACTGCTTTAATTTGCAGGATGAATCTGAATGTACTTCAGATGAGGAAATCTTTATCTCACAAGACGAAATACAGTCATTTATGGCTAATAACCAGTCTTTCTACAGCAATAGAGAACAATACCGACAACATCTGAAGGAGAAATTTAATAAGTACTGCCGCTTAAATGATCACAAGAGGCCCATTTGTAGCGGCTGGTTGACAACAGCTGGAGCAAATTAAATAAATAAAATAGCTCTGTCTTTCAATGAAACACTCAAGATGACTACTGCGCCTTCTCTTTAAAAAAACAAAACTCTTAATTTAGTGACTTCTGGCAAATTTTATCTTAAATCAATGTGATTCTTTCTTGTTTTGGGAGACGGTGGAGGTAACCTCATTAGTTCTTTCTTCAGGCTTGTGTCTTTAGTTGTGTGGCTGCGCAGGCCTGCCATATGATTTAAGCCATCTCTTTTCATTAAATGTTTCTCTTTCTGTGAGACTTACTAAAGCAACTTAGTGGCAAAAAGTAATGTTGTACTTATACTTCTGTACAGAAATGACAATGAGCTGAATATATGGTTTTACAAAGTAGACATCCACTTGCAAAATGTTTGGATGTAATGTTAAAAGCGCAATGTGCAAAATTTAAAATAAAGAATATTTATTAATATGCATAGTAAAATTTGGTGTACATGTTTCTGCTTACTGTGTGGCAGTATTTTAATATTTGCCATTTGTGGACTTGATACTTGGTCAGTGTTGATGTTGATGTTGGAGAGACTGAAGGGCAAATGAGGATAGACACAGATATTTGAAGACAGAAATCTTCCCTGATCACAGTTGACTACTGAGGAAAGTAGTTTCCAGATACTTGTTTTGAAAGAATAAATTTGCTGTGCTACCTATATAAGTATTGGCAATCATCTTTCTCATGAGAATTTTAATGACTTTTTTTTTTAATTAAAAGCTCCTGGTGGGTAAAGTGAGGCTCCGTAGATCCAGAGATTTATATATTGATGTCAAAGAATGAAAACAGAAATTGTCAGAATTTCATCCAAGGGTTGACTTTTAAGTAATTGGTCTGTAGAACTTGGATCAGAAGGCAACCTGAAAGTGAACCACATTGTGGTCTGTGTGAGTGCTTCTTCCTTATCTGGTTTCCAACAATAAAGTCACTGTGGCATGACAATTTGCTGCTTTCAGAAGCTCTCTGAGTACTGAAGGAAAGAGTTCCTAAGAAGTAGCATTTGGCTGTCATTTAAGAGGTTGTGTCGATGGTTCATCTAGGATGTTGTGCTTAGAGCTTTGTGTCTGCATGTTGATAATCCTGGGTGGGCAGCAGACTGTGCCACCAACCTATATTGACTCCAGGACAGTCAATGTCTCTGTGCAGTGGAGGTGGAATTAATTCTATGGACTTTCTGCCAGACTCAAGTCATTGTATGTGAACAACATAGAGGTTTGGTGAGATTTAAATTTTGCACTTATAGGCAGATAGGGAAGGTTTGAGCCAGAGGTCCTGATTCCTGTCCGACCCTTTCTTGCTTTTCACCCAGGCATCTGTAAAGAATTCATCCCTGGGCTCTGGATCCAGCATCCTTTATACCACCTGTTGCTGTCAAATTGTAATCTCTTGAAGTTTCCTAAAAGCAAAGGCTGGTATTTTGTCTCCATCTTTGCCCTCGGGTCCAACCCCAGTGTTTGCTGAAGCAAATAAACCAGCTTCACTCACTACTTTATTCCATTGCTTGTAGTGGAGATATGCTGATGGGCGCTTTTTCTTTGGAAGGTTGCTATATTAAGAATGCAGAAGTGAGGCAGATTTTAGTGCTTTGATGAATGGGAAAACAACTAAAAGTCCAAGAGGAGACAAAAGGGAGAATGTAGAGAAGGCAGTTTAGGAGCACATTTCCCTTTCAGCAAATTCCGTGAAGAAATCAGTAAGGTTATATACATACATATACCCGCTACACACATTACTACAAAGTGCTTAAACGTGCCTCTTACACATTAAGCACTCAGTAATACTAGTTACTGCTTTACTCCTGGGTATACGTGGTGCCCCATTTGTCGGAGTCTGTAGGCCTTTGGGGGCTACAGTTCCCAGAAGACATGTTCTTGGGGGTGGGTGTGTGGTTTGGGGGCCACGCCCAGGGGTGCTTTGGGGCAGCTCTGGGCTCTTGTATCCCCAGTGGGCATGGCAGTCGATTAAGGCTGTGACCGGAGTCCGAATCAGAGCCTCCCACGTACGAGGCAGTCCCTCTGAGCACCCTCTCCGGCCCGGCCCAGTTTTCGCGTTCTGATCACGTGTTGGTTAGCCAAGGTAGGATCGCGCCCAAGGTGACCCAAGCCTGGAGTCGCTTTAAGCGCCCAGTAGTCACCGGGTCGGAAACAGTTAAAAGGGGGACTGACCCAGAGGCCGGCGGTGCTCCGAGGGGGCGAGTGCGCGGCCGCCTACCCCCGCCCACCCCGCCCGGCATCCCGCGCGCGGGGCACGGCGGGACTCCAACTCCCAGGATGCTCGGCCGCGGGCGGGGCCGGAAGGGGCGCGGCCGGCCGTCGCGAGGGGCGGGCCGCTCGGGTCCAGGCCGTCCTCGGGCGGGCCATGGCGGAGCAGCCGGGGGTGGAGTCCGGGCCCCGGCGCGGCGACGCGGTCGGGCCCCGCAGCTCGCCGGTCCACGAGCAGTTCTCCCGGACCGAGATGGGCGGGCGGGCGGCGGCCAGGCCCGGCATGGAGCGCTGGCGCGACCGGCTGGCCCTGGTGACGGGGGCGTCGGGGGGCATCGGCGCGGCGGTGGCCCGGGCCCTGGTCCAGCAGGGACTGAAGGTGGTGGGCTGTGCCCGCACTGTGAGCAACATCGAGGTAAGGTCCGCGCGGGCCGCGGGCCGGGCCCGGGCCGGGCGTCGTTTCCCCGGGGAGCGGGCCCGGTGGGGGAGGGGAGAGGGTTAAACCAGCGGGTGCTTTTTCAGAGCCCTCCCTGACCCACCCCCACCCCACACCCTTTGTTTGTTTTTGTTTTCGTTTCCCCGATTTTTGGATCACACCTGTAGGTGCTCAGGGCTTAACCTGGCTCTGTGCTCAGGAGACACTCCTGGCGGTGCTCCGGCGACCATATGGGGGTGCCGGGGATCGAACTTGGGACTGCCAGGTGCAAAGCAAGCGCCCCACCTGCTGCTCTGGCCCTAAAGTTCCAGCTTTGAAGGCACCTTTTTTTTCTCTCGACGATCTTCTCCGTTGCATCCAATCTGACTCCTCCGCATCTTTCTCCCTCCTCCCGCCTACCCTGCTTAAAATAGAGGGAAGAGGACAGAGGAAGCCCGAGATTGGGGGAGGGGGCCAGCAAGACCATCCGGGAGGAGAACCTTCTGGCTGAGAGGGCTGTATTGCCGCGACCTCGCCCGCCCACAAGGCCCATGCGGCCAGAGGCCAGCCTGATGAGCAGGGGCAGAGGCTTTGAACGTGGTCGAGCTGGGGAGGCCCAGCGCTGCCCCAGTGGAGGGTGAACCCCTGCCCTTAGGGTAAACCGAGAAACGAGGCCTTTCATTCCCTCCTCCCCCGCCGCAGTTGAAGGGGAGTGGGCCAGGCAAAGGGGCCCCTGGAGCTTGTGACCTTTTCCTTAGCTGGTGTGAGCCCCCAACCCCACTCGACCCAGGTTGACCCGTAGCAGCTGAGAGGAAAACAAAGTGGACTTGTCCATATGGAACAGGGGGCAAGGGGGAACTTTTCCTCCTGTGCCATCTTTGAACTCAGACCTGCAAGGTGGCACTCAGGGTTGGGCTGGTGCTTATCTGCTGACTATTGCCTGTTGCTCAAAGTCCCCTGGGCAAGCAAAGGATGAAAAACTTGGGCTGGGGCAGAGGTAGATGGTGGACAGGAAGGACTCTCGCCTGCCTTGTTGCTCCCAAAGGGACACTTTCAAGTTTCCTAGATAGTCCCAAGGTCACCTGGCCAGTCATTGCCTGGCTCTGCCCCTCCTTTTGTAATGAGGCTGGGCTGGGCTGGGAAGATCAAGTCAGGGATTAGACACTGGATTTCTTCCTTTTCAGTTTTGGGGTCACACCTTTCGGTACACATCCACAGGGCTCCTTTGAGCTCTCCCCAGCTTCCTTCCTCCATTCTTTCTCCATTCTTCCTCCCTCCCTCCCTCCCTCCATATGTGGTACCAGGGATCAGACCTGAGTTGGCCACCTTCAAGGCAAATGCCTTAACCCCTCTATTGTCTCTCCTGCCTCTAACACTGGGATTTTTTTTGAACTCTAAAGCCACTCTTGCCTTCCTACTCTTCTACCCCAAACTATCAGTCCCGGGATGATGCCATGTCACAAAGAGAGATTTATGTTTGGTCATTTTTGAGGGTAGGGAAGGTGGCAGAGGTGAGGCAATGAGAAGGGAGTAACTAATTTATCAGCAGTCCCTCCATCCTGGCTATGGGGGCCTGGGAAGCAGTGGCTTTATGTCTGGGAGAAGAAAGGAGAAATCCCTTACCAGGGGAGGTGCAAATTCTCAGCTTTCTTGCTCACACTTTGTTACTGTGTGAGTCATTGACTTGAACAGTTTGGGTCCTATCTCTTGGACTCTTTGTGAGAAATTGGGCGAAGGGACATTTCATTTTATAAATTTTTAAATTTTATTTTCATAAAGTTGTTCACAATAGTTGATAACATTCAGTATTTCAATAGCAGTCCCACCACCATTATTATTTTGTATTGCTTGTTATGAATAGTATGAGATGTCTGTAAGGATCTATCTCACAGTGATTCAACAAAAAAGTGGGGAAAAAAATAGTATGTGATGTCATGCGGGTGCTTTTGTGGCTGCGTGCTACTTGAATTCCAAAATTTTAAATAATTTGGGTCTGGAGACATCTCTGCAGCAAGCTGCTCTCTTCTGAGATTCATTTGTGAGTCTCTGGATCATGGCAGGGGACATTTCTGAGTCACAAAGAAAGTTACAGCAGGATCACCTGATCCAGGCTTTTCTTTCCAGGAAGAAAAGACTGCCTAGGAGAGCTGGCCAAGCTAGCCTTCCGCTTGGGCACCCCGCATCCCCCGTCCCTCTTCCCTTTGTGCTTGGACTTTATCACCTTCACCAGGGCTGGAGCACAGGCTTTATGTGCATCCCTGCCTCCCGTGGTCCTGCAGCACTGTCCGGAGTGATTCCCCAAGCACTGCTGGGGATGACCCAGCTCCTCCCCTCGCCCCCACCGGAAAAAAATATTTAAACCACAAGTGCCTGAGCCCTGATCCCCCTGGCTACGAGCTTCCTGCCTCCTGCTTTCCCCCACAGCCAGTGCGGCTCCCTTGCTCTGTGCTGCCCGACTTCACTGTGTCCAGAGGAGCTTTGAATGGGGGCCGTGTTCCCGGGGACTTAGAGATAAGCATCCCTCCTCCCTCCTTTGGCCCCACCCACCCAGCTGGGGAGGAGGGGGTGGGGCAGGACCAGGTGGGAGACACCAAGAAGGTGTCTCAGTGCTGGAGGGAGAGGTGGGAAAGTTTACTCAGGAGTTTCCCCTAAAGGGGCTGCTGGGAAGAGGGTCCCAGCGGGGTGACCACAGGGGGAGGTTGTCGTCGGCTGCTCACTCCAGTTATGGGTTTCCTAGGAGCTGGCTGCTGAATGTAAGAGTGCAGGCTACCCCGGGACTTTGATCCCCTACAGATGTGACCTGTCCAGTGAGGAAGACATCCTGTCCATGTTCTCGGCGGTGCGCGCCCAGCACAACGGGGTGGATATCTGCATCAACAACGCCGGCCTGGCCCGCCCGGACAGCCTGCTGTCGGGCAGCACCAGCGGCTGGAAGGACATGTTCAACGTAAGGGCTGCACGCCTGGAGGGTGGCAGCGGGGGCCCTGACCAGGGCCTGGGGACCCAGAGGGCTGCGGAGACCCCCTGAGCGAGCTTTGCTTCCTCTCAGGGTCCCTGGACTGGGCGGGTCCCTGGACTGGGCGGATGCAGCTGCTCCGCCCCCGGGCTTAGTGCGGATGAGTGGCCGCATCTTTTCTGACTTGGAGGCCCGGGAGGCTGGTTTTCAGTCTCTCCTGATGGCTTTCAACTGAGGAAGCATGGCAGGGGAGAGAACGCTGCTCAGTGTGTGCTGAGTCCTCGGTTCCCTGGTCCTGCGGACAAAAAGCACCGTGAGGTGGGCGCTGTTCTGGCCTAGGCCTTTGGGGCTCTCTCTGAGCTCTGGTCTTGTCTCTGACTGGGATGCGCATTCCTGCATGGCCAGGACGTGGACTTGCCGTGCTCCTGTCACGGCTGAGGTCAGGAACCGGAGGTCCAGCCTCTTGCTGTAGGTCAGCATGGGCCCAGAGTAACCAGATGTCTTTTTTTTTTTTTACAGAAGTCAGGAGCCTGGGGTTTTGTTTAACTTTGGGTTTGTTTGTTTTTATATTTGGGCCATACCTGATAATGTTGGGGAGGGGGTTGACTCCCAGCTGTGGGCTTGGGGGGTCATTCTGAGCAGTGCCTAGGGCACTCTGTGGTCCTGGGGATTGATCCTGGTGTCCCATATGTAAAACTTGCACTCAGTCCTTTGAGGTCTCTCTAGCCCAGAGCCCGGGTTTGTATGTGACCCCCTTGCCCCCTCACTAAAGCCTCAGTACTACAGGGTAGAGGGTTGTTTTTTTTTTTTTTTTTTTTTTTTGGTCTGTTTCATTTTCTTTCGTACCCTCAGCCTATAAATGATAAATTGTGAATGAGTGAAAACCACCAATTCATGTTGGAAATGAGTTTAAAAGTCTGGAAAACCAGTCAAAACACCAACCGAAAAAAAACAAAAAAATGTTTTCAAATTGTCCAGGGACAAGTCGTTCTTCAGGACGTGAGGTTTCAACCTCTGGGCTGTTTAGGGCACTCTCAGGTATCAGAAGCTGTGTCTTTCCCATGTGTTCACCCTCCACCTGGCTCCTACCGGGGGCTTGGGCCTGGCATGAAGCAGAAACATTGGCCCAGCCCTCTCAACCTTCCCAGAGACCCCACCGTGGGGTCCTCACTATTTACTACTAAGTAGGTCTCTCAGTTTGGCCCCTCTGTGGAAGGAGGGCCTGGTCGTAATTAAGGCCCCTTGCAGGTTGCACTCCATGTTTACTGTTATTATTTGGTGTTTGAGCCATACCCAGTGATGCTCAGGGCTTACTCCTGGCTCTGCACTTAGGGATCTCTCCAGGCGGGGCTCAGGGAACCATATGTGGTTTAGGGGACTGAACTGGGCCAGCAGCTTGCGGGCAGGAAGCCTGCCCACTGTGCTGTGGCTCCAGGCCCAGGAGCCTTACTAGTACCTTCCTATTTTTTTTTTTTGGCGGGGGGGGGGGCGGGAGGAGGGGGTTTGGGGCCATACCCGGCAGTGCTCAGGGATTACTCTTGGTTCTGCACTACCCATATAGGAGGGGTAGGCAGCCCCTTTCTATTCTGTTAGCTAACTTCTATTAGCACCTTCCTATCAGGCATCTTTTAACACTCCCAGCCCTGTCCCCCACCCCTAGAAGAGTCACTTCTCTGTCCCTCCTCAGGAGCTGAGGTCTCTGTCCCTCCAGGGAGGCAGTAAAGGCGACTCTTGACACCTGCCTCCTCTCCACTGCCCTCTCCCTGGCAGGCTGAGAGAGGGGAGGACCCGGAGGCTTTATCTCCGCCTGCCCTCTGGCCCAGGCTCAGGGTGGGCCCACTTTAGATAATTCTTCAGGCGTGTTTGGTGGTGGGGTACCTGGAGGTCATCTCTGCCAGCAGGAGTAGGTGATGGGGGAAGGTGGAAATCCCCATGGCCTTGGAGGTTCCCTTCCATCCTGTGACAAGTTACCCAACCCTAGTCTTGCAGATAGGACAAAGGTTAAAGGAAGACTGGGGCGTGTACCACTCCAGTGCCAAGGGAGGGGAGCAGGAGGGGAGTGTGTGGGGGGAGGGGAGGCTTGGGGAGACGCAGCATAGTCTGTGCTGGAGGAGGCGGTTTTGGAGCCTGGGCAGGTGACCCCCAAGAGAAGTGACAGGGGTCTGGGGAAGGCAAAGAAGAACAGACACCCGAGGTTGGGAGTCCCCTGGATTTGGGCTTGGGGGGGGGGCTGTCTCGGGCCGGGGGCACTCAGGGACAGGACCTGCCTCTGCTGCCATCTGGGTGGGGCTGGTGTCTCGAGAGGAGGGACCCCTAAGGCGAGGTGCCCCGGGCCTGTTGTTGGTCTCTGGTAGGATCCGAACGCGGGTTTGGAATGCCTCTCGCCACCCACCACCAGCACCGCCAGCACCACCAGCACCCCGGGGTGGCCTCTGTGGCTCCACCACCTGCGGAGCTGGGCCCGAGCTGGAGACATGCCCTTGCCCTCCCTGGCCTGCAGGTGAACGTGCTGGCCCTCAGCATCTGCACGCGGGAGGCCTACCAGTCCATGCGGGAGCGGAAGGTGGACGATGGGCACATCATCAACATCAACAGGTGAGGCGGGGTCTGCTGCAGGCTGAAATCAGGAGGGACACCCTGGGAGCGCCACCACCAGGCTCAGAGATACACAGTGTCACCGGGAGGGGGCGGGGATTGTCCCAGTCTGAGAGGGGAGATGTAGCTGATCTCTCCAGTGATGTCTCAGTGGAACCGGGTCAAAGGCCCCAACGATGTACTCTGGTGGCCGTTCCAACCTCCGACCGCCAGCCTGCTGAGGGGTGGGCACTGTGTGGTCAGTGCAGGGAGGAGGCCTTGAGGGATGGCGGTCCTTTGAAAAACAAGCTCAGCCTCTCGAGGGCTCAGCGCTGCTTCCCTCCAGCTTGAAGTTGGGGTGGGTCAGCAGGAGCCACGGCTTCATTCCCTCACTTCTCCCCTTCCCTCTCTGCACCCAGCATGTCCGGCCATCGCGTGGTACCGCAGTCCATGGTGCATTTCTATAGTGCCACCAAGTACGCCGTCACTGCACTGACCGAGGGCCTGAGGCAAGAGCTGCGGGAGGCCCAGACCCACATCCGAGCCACGGTGAGGGCCGCGGTAGGCCTGTGCTTTCCCAGTGACGCCACGCCCATGTCTAGGGGTGCTGCCGGATTTCCCTGGGCGCGGCCGCCGCTTGCATTTCCTCGTGGCACTGGCTCTGAGGTGGGGAGAGGTAGACCTGAGGGAAACCTGGTGTTCCCCATCCGCCTCCTGCCCCTCAGAGGCTGTTGGAGCTGGGGTAACTCCCTCCACCTCTCCAGGCCTCGGCATTCTCGTGTGTAAAAGGGATGATAGACCCTCTCAGGGAGGCACTTGTAGGCCCTTTGCCTGGCTTGTAGAAGGCGGGTGTCCTGCGACGCTCCCCTGGGCTGCTCAGACCCCTCTCTCGTGGCCCAGTGCATCTCTCCGGGACTGGTGGAGACGCAGTTTGCCTTCAAACTCCACGACAAGGACCCCGAGAAGGCGGCCGCCACCTATGAGAACATAAAGGTGGGCTCTTCTCTGGTTGGTGAACACTGAGTGTGGGCAGAGGGCACCTTGGCATTTAGAAGCAAGTCCCCTCTCTACCCCCCTCTCCCTCAAACAAAAGCTTCTAGTTATTCTGCCCCACCTGGGAGTTTGGGGTGGGAATGCGGGCACCTTAGAGACCCTCAGTAGTGGGAGGACCCGGGCTCCATTCTGACCTACCCATCCCTTCCTCTCGTGTGCTCAGTGTCTCAAACCCGAAGATGTGGCCGAGGCCGTCATCTATGTCCTCAGTGCTCCCCCCCACGTCCAGGTGAGTCTGACCCCGATCATCCACCCCCCAGGGGAGCCCGGCATCCCGAAGGAGGAGGCGAGCAGGGGCTCTCGGGTGGGCATCGCAGACGCCTCAGCCTCATGCCTCCCGCAGATCGGAGACGTCCAGATGAGGCCCACGGAGCAGGTGACCTAGATGCCTGTGGGCAGCTCCTCCACGCCCCTCACGGCCGGGGCGCCCGCCCCTGAGTAGTGTGGGCTTGGGGGCCCCTGCATTTCACTACTCCCAGGGAGGGCTCGGGAATTTGAGGTTTTTACATCTTGTCGATTTTTTCCCCACGGTGAATGTGAAGAAAATGGGGTGGGGAGAGGAGGTGGGTGTCCCTGAGCTGGCTGGAACTTGTTCTTGGTCCCCTTCTTGGTGTCTTCCTTGTGACCTAGGGAGGGAACTGTGGCCCAAAGGGCGGGGTGGGGGGGCTTCCCCTATTTCTTGCACACACACCCCTCCGCATTCCTGAGGGATGTGGGGGTGCCCAGAGCTGCCTTCCTCTGTGTGTGTGTGAGTGCCGTCCCAGGCCTCCCGCTGGCTCCCCCTGCCCGCTGCCCGGTGCCCCTCCCATTCCCCCACAGAGCTCCAGCCCTGTGCTGGCTGCTCAGCCTCATCGGCGTGGTCTCTGCCCCGTGGCAGCAGAGTATCGGGGCTACCTCCCCAGTGGATTTCCCTGGATCATTAAAAGAAAAATTGCCACCAACTTTGGCCTCCAGTGTGTCTTTCACTTCTCTCGCTTCTCTGTAGATGCGGGTTTCTGAATTCGGTCATGGTTGGTTGGGGCATCGTCCTGGGGTGTGGACTTGCCTAGGTAGCAGAAATGTTCTTCTGCTGGGATCTGAAACTCTTGCCAGCTAGAAGAGTGCTCAGGGCAGGGACTCAGCAGTGGAGCACTTGCCGTGCATGCTTGCAAAAAATTACCAAAGAAAAGAAAACGACAGTGCAGACCATAGGGTGTGTCATGTGCAAATGGCCTCGAATGTAGTGCTGGAGTGAGATGGATGAAAAAGTGACCCCCACCCAGATCTCCAGGGCTCTGTGCTGAGTTCCAGGGCCAGGCTGGAGCATGGGCTGGCTTGTCAGCTGGTGCAACAGAGCTGTCACTTGGGATATCGGCGGCCACGGGATAGTGGGTTACCACAGGGAAGCTGCTGAGGGGCTGAGGGTTGGTTTGACCAGGCGGTGGAGGCGCACACTGGGCTGGAGGCAGGAGAAATGTAGGAAGGAAACAAGCCCTGGACGTCCAGCACGTGGGAGAGGACTGTGGGAAGGGAGGCAGCTGGACCCATGTGGCTGGACAGCAAAGCCAACGTGCCCCCTTGGATGCCCTCTGCTGGAGGTGGGGTGAACGCGGCCCTCAGTCTGCCTGGCCCCCGGAAGGGCGCGGGGCGCGGCACGTGGGTCGGCTCCGCCCACACCCGCTGCGCGAAAAGGCGCCTCCCAGCCTGCCCTGCAGGGGGCGCTCTGAGGCCGGCCCGGCGAGCGGGGCCGCCGGACGCGGAAGCGGAGCCGCTCACGTGGGCTGCGGGCCGGGGTGCTCGGGGCCTGGGGGCAGCAGAGTGAGGGGCCGTGGGGGGCGGGATTCCCGGCGCCTGTGCCGGGGGGTGACCTCGCGGCCACGGCGCTGTTCGTGGTAGCGGAGAGCTGGCGTCGCTCTGGGGCCCTGCTCGCGCGTCCCTGCTCGCAGTGGACACGCGGCGGCCAGCGGCCCGGCGGCCAGGAGCTGCGCCGCCTGCTCCAGGATGAGCTGGCGCCGGCCCCACCGGCGTCCGGGCGGCTGGAGCTGCTGTACGGCCTGTCCCCGTGTCTGCTGGCGCTGCGGGCCGCCCGCCGCCACGTGACCCGGCTCCTGCTCCAGGCCGGCCGGTCGGGGCTTCAGGGCGATCGGGCCGAGCTGCTGCGGGAGGCCGAGGCGCGGAACATCCCGGTGCTGCGGCCCCGGAGGCAGAAGCTGGACGCCCTGTGTCACCACCAGGTGCACCAGGGCGTGTGCATGGAGGTGAGCCCGCTGCAGCCCGAGCCCTGGACCGAGGCCAGGGACACGAAACCCCAGGACGCCCTCCAGCAGCTGTGGCTCGTCCTCGAGGGGCTCCAGGATCCCAGAAATCTGGGGGCCGTGCTGCGCTCAGCTTACTTCCTAGGAGTCGATAAGATCATCACCAGCCGGAGAAACAGGCACGAATGCCCCTCCTCCTGCCCCCCCAGTCCCCGTCCCGAGGCACATCGAGTTCCCAAGCACCCGGGTTCCCCTTCAGCCAGGTCTTGGCACTTGCTCGCACGCTCACCCCTAACCCTCGGGTGCCCGGGGAGGGCAGGGGATCAGGGATTTCCCAGCCTCACGTAGGACTTGGGGAAACTTCGCAGCTGCCCGCTCACTCCCGTGGTCAGCAAGGCCAGTGCAGGGGCAATGGAGGTGATGGCGGTGTTCTCCACCGACGACCTGGCCGGCTTCTTACAGGTAATGGGGGTCCATGGGGGGCTCAAGGAGCCAAACCCAGCCGCCCCCGGGGTGCTCAGCCCGCTGCAGGGTGATATGGGCACTGCTCCTTGCTTCCTTTTAAGTCCCCTTTAGAAACGAGGGGTCCCGGAGTTTTAAGAACCTCAGGTGGAGCAGAAACTCGCGCTTTCCTAGTCTCTTTCCCCAGGCGCATCTCTCTGCCCCTCCTGCGTGTTGCTTATTAAATTTGTGGAATGTAAATGCAGTTAGCAGTGAGGAGTTGATGGACAGGGATTTTGGGTTTCTCCAGTATTGCTCAGCATTGCTCTTGCAGTTGCCTCCCCTGCCCGCCTGCCCGCCCCCCCCACCCCCCCCGCACCCTCGCCCTTCTTGCAAGCAAAGAAACTTGCTTGTCCAAGAAACCAAAATGACCTTGTGATAGATACCTAGGAAGCCTTGCTCTGGAATCCTGAGCCTTGCCTCCAGCTGTGCTTCCTCTGCTGGACGCGAGGGGGCAGTATTGCCCTGTATTTGACTGCTCCCTTGACCATCACCCCCAGATGCCCCCAGTCTCATCTCCGCCCTGCCTCTTTTATGTTTATATAAACTTTATATAAACCCGTTTCTTGTGAGTGCGCTTCCCCAGTCGCGTGGATTTAAACACCATCTGTATTTGAGTGCCTTCCAAACATAATTTCCTTACCCATTTTTGCTTCCAGAGCCCAGATTCACATATCTGATGGCTCACCGTGTGGTCGGAAGGGCATCTCAAACATTTCCAAAGCCAGGCACCAATTCCTCCTGCAGATGACCCAGCTCAGAGCTTTACATGTTTAAACACCGTGGCATCATCCTCCATTCTTCCCACTGCCCCATCTGGGTCTTCTCTCCTTTCCCTTGAAGTTTCGTCCAGTCTCACCCTCGCTCCCGTTGGTCACAGCCACCAGCAGTCTCCATTACTACAGAAACCCCCTACTTTGTCTTTCTTAAGTGACTTGATGTCAGCACAGCTTGGAGAGTGGGTCTACTGACCTGTGAATTAGACCATGTCACCTCTCTGCTCAAAACCTTTGCAGAGTAAAAGCCAAAGTCTTTCCAGTGGCCTCTGAGGTCCTGATTTGTCTGACCTTTCTTCCCTCTCTCTTCCCGGCACCTCACTTCCCACTGGCCCTCTTGTTGTGTCAGGGAAACCCCTCTCCTGTCTCTTCACTTTCTGATCCTCCCTGGAATATTGCTCTCTCCCCCACACCCAGATGTCCTCATAGTGCTCCCAGTCTCCTTTCTGTACTAAAGATTTCCCTTCGTAAGGATACTGTGCAAATGGGTGAAGTATCTCATATTTTTATTTTTTTTAAAAACTAGTTCAGGGATCGAACCCAGGACTTTGAGTATACTAGGCATGCTGACTAGTGCTCTACCAGTCAGCCACATTCCTTGGTCCAAGTTTCTTAATTTTGGGGGAGAAGGGTCTTTCATAAGCAATATAAGCGGGCCCTTGGGGCCTCTCCCAGTGGTTCTTGACAAATCAGGCCACTGGTTCAGTGCACAGGCATGAGGATGAGGTGTAGCTGGGATTATCTGGGCCATTCTGGCAGTATTGGAGAGCTTTTTGAGTCATACCCGGGATGCTGGGAGTGGTGGTGGTGGGAATTAAACCTGGGCCAGTTACACGAAACGTGTGTAAACTTGCTTGATATATCTCTCCAACCCCCATGTTTCATGCTTAGGGGTCAGGCATAAAGGACAATATTGGACTTTCGGTACTGAGTTTAATTTAATACCTTCATATGTCAGTTTGAAATGATGCACACCTGAAAGGTTTGTAATACTCAAAGCAACAGTACCTCCATTAAAATTAAAATTAAAAGAAAAAATATGTTGACCTCAACGGCTGGAGAGATTGTGTAGGAGACAGGGTCAATTATTTCAGGTTTTTTTTGTTTTGTTTTTTAATTTTTGGGAGCCATACCTGGGGGCTCAAGCCTTACTCCTGGCTGTATATTCAGAAATCACTCCTGGTGGTGATTGGGGGACCATTTGGATGTGGGGAATGAACCCAGAGCAGCAGCATGTAAGGCAAGCCCCCTACCCACTGTACTATCTGTCCACGGCCTGGCTGATCTCAGTTTGATCTCTGGCATAACTGGTCCCTGTGCCTCCCCACAGCAATGCCAGGAATAGCCCCTTAGCACCACCTGATGTGGTCCAAAAACTAGAAAGTAAAACAAAAAAGTCACTCAGTGAGGCCTTCCCTGGCACTGGAATCAGCCTTTTTGTTCTGCTTTGTTCCTCCTTTTCCTTGGAACCACCTTCTGCTGTGGTCTGTTCTGAATAGACATATTCCCCCAGGGCTCAAATCTCTGCCATCAGGTGAGGATTTCCCCCACTATCCCCTGCCGTCTGCTGGCACCCCAGGAAGGTCTGGCGATCTCTTTCTCCTTTCAGACTAAAGCACGGCAGGGCTGGCTCGTAGCTGGCACAGTGGGCTGCACCCCGGACTCCTCCCACCACCCCGAGGTCCCCGTCACCAGCTGCTTGGAGTTCCAGTGGGACCAGCCAACCCTCCTGGTGCTAGGTGCGTAGAGCTGCTGCCCCTGGGGGCTGGGCTGTGCATGCACACACAGGGCACCCCCAGACTGCCCCCCTCCACTCTGCAGGGAACGAGGGCGCTGGGCTGTCCCCAGAGGCACAAGCTTCCTGCCAGGTGCTCCTCACTGTCCTGCCAGGCCGCCAGCTGACCCCTGGCTTGGAGTCTCTGAATGTCTCAGTGGCCGCTGGTGAGTCCCTTTCCCTCCCACCCAAAGGGGGCCTTCCCAGCTGCTGCCACCAAGCCCAGCTATCTGCGGGGCCCAGTGCAGACCCCCGGCCTGGCCCTCCTCTTAGACTTGTCCCCCTGTCCCCCTGTCTCCCATCTGTGCAGGAATTCTGCTTCACTCCATCTGCAGCCAGAGAAAGGGGCAGAGAGGGAGACCGGCCCAAGACTCCCCAGAACCCTCGGCCACTCTGAAGGGCCCCGAGTAGCCTGGCCCGGGGCTGCCTCTAGGGTCAGCAGAAGAGAGGTGGGGGTGGGTGTAGGGGCAGCTCCGTGCCCAGACTGGGACTTGTGTGTCTCTGGCCCCTCTGAGTTACCGCTGTCCCAGCGGACGAGGCTGCAGGAAACGGGGCTCCTGTGCTGATGTCAGAGCTCTTTGCTTCCCAGAATGCACTGGGCCGGGGTGCTGTTCCCCTGGCCTGCTCCTCTGCAAGGAGCCTGAGCAGCTAGAGGGAGGCCGCTGCCCGCGGTGGGACAGACAGGTACCAGCCTAGGCTCCTTCCAGCGTCGCTGCCCTGTGGCCTTGAGCCTGGGGCTTTGTCTTGATGTGCCTCCTGGTCTCCTGTGCTGTCCTTGGCCCTTTGGGGGTGGGCGCGAACCCAACCCAAGGCCCTTCCTTGGCCTGTCGTGTCCCAGTTGTCCACTAGGTGGCAGCCGCGCTCTTCCATCCACAGTCTTCCGTCCTAGGCAGCCCCCCTGGAGGGTGGGGGATTCCTGGCTGTCCACTTAGACCCACAAATACCTCCCACCCCCTGCGCCCCCTGAGCCCTCTGCCAGTGACTCGCCAGTCGGTCCACGCCCACAGAGGAACCCATGAGCCTTTGATTTTGTGTGGTGATGAGCAGAGAGTTGCCCTTGCACCACAGGCTGGGTCCTCCTCCCCGAAAACCACCCAGACACAGAAGCTGCTTTAGAAGTAGTTTTCTGCGGTGGAGCCGCATGGAAATCTTTAAGAGGAAAACTGCCAGGTCCAGAGAGATAGCCATAGGTTAGAGCGCTTGCCCTGCGTGCACCGGCCCAGGCTGGGGCCCCTCTAGCATCACTGGACACAGCGGCCGGGGTCGCCCTAGGGTTCCCAGCACTGCAGGGCTAGAGCGTTGAACCCCAGCTTGGTTGACTGACAATCGCTGAGAGGGGCCGGGGGGAGAGCCTTAAGCCTCTAGCCCTCTACTTAGGAGTACCCCCCCAAAAAGGGGGGTGTAAAAAGGGTTCAGGTTCCATTCCTGCTTTCTGTGCGGCTGGCCCCTCAGTCTCTGCTGTGTCACGTACAGAGGGAGGCACCTTCAGGACCTGTCTCAGCTCACAGGGCGTCCTGTTAAGGACAGGGCTGCAGTGCAGAGAGCTGCAGGACTCGAGCACATGCCCGGCCTGCACGAGGCCCTGCAGTCAGTCTCTAGCCCTGAGCAGGGCTGAGGGCAGCTGACCTCACCTTCACTATGACCCACACACCACAGCATTGCTGGACCGAGCACAGAACCACGGACCAGACATCCCTGGGAGTGGCTTCAGGTTCTCCCCTTGCACCTCTGGAGAGCAACTTGCCCCCACCATTAAAGCAAAATAAAGCAAAGGACTATGCTCTAGGGTTTAACAAAAACCTGTGTTCCGGGAGTTTCTGTCACGGTGTTCGGGACTGAGACCAGGCTGATGCAGGTGGCCGTGGTCAGCAGGGGTCCCAGGTAGGATGAAAGGTGCCCCAGGGCTGTGGCAGTATCTTCCCTGGGTGCTGGGACTCGTGGGCACCTGGGCTTTGCGCGTGTCACCTGTGCCAAGTCAGCATGGTCATGGGGAACATGTATGTGTGTGTGTGTTGGTGGTTTTTATTTTTTGGTCACACCAGGGAGGGGGGTTCTCAGTGGCTACTTCCAGTGCAGTGCTCCAGAAAAAAAATAGTTTTGTTGTTGGGAATTGAATCCAGGGCCTGCCACTGAGCCACAATCCTGACCCCCCGCCCCCATGCAGGTATTTTTCTTTCTTTTCTTTTTCCTTTTTTTGGGGGGTGGGGGCTTACCTGACAGTGCTCAGAGCTTACCCCTGGTTCTACACTCAGGAATCACTCCTGGCAGTGCTCAGGGGACCCTATGGAGTGCCAGGGATTGAATCTCGGGTCTGCCACGTGCAAGGCAAGTGCCCTCCCCGCTGTACTATCACTCTGGCCTCATTGTGCAGGCATTTTTCCGGAGTACCCCCAGACTCGATGCAAAGGAACTCAGAACTGCAGGCTTCTGCTGCTCCTTCTTGTGAGAAGTGGCCTCCCACTCTGCCTGCATGGAACCTCAGAGAAATGAGGGCATTCGGGTTCAGGGATGCTCCCTACCAGCTCCCTGCCGAGGGATGCTCCATGCCAGAAGAACCCCACTTTAGGCTCACTGTTTCGCTTTCCAGGTCTTGGGGTCTGGGGTCTCACTGGTCCACCAAAAAAAAGATGCCAGGACTTAACCCGGTCATGCCTGCACCCTATTGTGTCTGAATAGTAACTTCTTTTGAGGATGGCATGAAAATTTCTGCACACCAGCGTGGATCTGTGGACTCACAGTCGAAATGGGAGGTGCCACTGTCCTGGGTCACCTCTGCTCTCCCACTGAGGCAGCAGGCTGGCTGGCTTCTGGAAAGGGATATGGGGTTGCAGGGTCCAGTGAGGACCAAACCCTCAAATCTCGCCACCAGGCCCTCTCAACTGTTTCCGATTATGATTACCAGTTGGCCCCTTAGTCTCCTAATGTGGCCCCCCATTTCTGCCATTGTCACCTGTGGTGGCTGGTTGAGGAAGGCTCCCCTAGAAATGAAGCTTTCCCTGGGGGAGCAGGAGCACACTGGGTAGCACAGCAGGGAAGGCACTTGCCTTGCACACGGCTGACCCAGGGTCGATTCCTGACAGCCCGTATGGTCCCCTGAACCCGCCAGGGGTGACCAGGAGTGAGCCCTGAGCACTGCTGGGTGTGGCCCCCAAACATAAGTTTTCACTTGACCTTGTTCTTCTTGGAGCCACCACTGGTGCCCAACATGTCCCCCTCTGCCCCCACCCCCACCCTGCCAGCAAGTTGCCAGTTGCTGTGGTGCCGGGTGTGAAGGGTGGGCTGCTTCCCCTTGCAGGCAGAGGCCAGTTGATACTGAGCGGGTGGAGCCATGGTTAAGAGGGGGCCCTGGCTAGAGACGATGCTGCCCAGAGCTCCAGCGTGAGTAAATGTGGACACACCCCTTGGTTCTTCCTCCACGGGGAGAGAGTGGGGGGTGTGGTCAGCGGGGTCATGGGTGAGAAGCCCTCAGCCTGTGTCTAGTGCCAACAGGAGGACACCCTCTGTGCTTTGGGGTACCTGGGCCAGAGCCGGGGTGGGCAGCAGCCTCAGCTTGGAGTCTTCTGGTGGGTTCTACAGGCTCCATTGCATTGAGCCCTGCAGGTGCAGCCTGCAATGACGTGCCCCCCCCCCAGCCCCCCAGAGGCTGGAGGAGGGGGATGGCATGACGGGGACCTTGCTTTGTCAGCCATGAGGGGTGGTGGCTGCCCCCAGAGCTCCCAGCTGCCCTCCTTAGGGGGCATGCTCATTGCTTTTCTTCTGTAGGAGGCTAAATTGCCAACTCCCTTCCCCAGGCTGGGGTCCTAAACTAGACACCCCCCCCTTCCTACTCCTGCGGTGCCAGGCGCCAGGGAGCCCCACAGTTTGTAAATGTAATCAACCTTGAGGTCTCAGCTTCCACAGGTGCAATTAGCATGCCCATCTGCTAATCCCTGATTAATGATGTTTACAAACACGAGCTCCCCTTCCCCTGCACCTCTGCCCCGGGGCTGCGCCAAATCCAAGCGCCTGCCCGCCTCGCAGGGCTTGGGGGCTGGGCTGGGGTTCCCCACGCTGCTTCCTTTTGGTTCCAGAGCCTTTGGGACGCCAAATCCAAGCGCCTGCCCGCCTCGCAGGGCTTGGGGGCTGGGCTGGGGTTCCCCACGCTGCTTCCTTTTGGTTCCAGAGCCTTTGGGACGGGTGTGGGTGTGGGGTGGGGCGGGGGAGGGTGCTTGCTGGCCCTTCCTGCTTACACACCTCCTTGTCAGAGGCAAACCTTAGCTTGACTTTAGATCAGTAGTTTAAGTTGATGCAGCCTCAGTTTCCCTGGCTGTCAGTGGGGATCAGGGCAGGCTCCAGCCCAGCTGTCCCACAAGGACTCAGCACTGAGCCTGGGCACAGTAGGTGCTCAATAAACCCGAGCTTTGGGCTGCCGTAACACTAACCAAGGACGAGGGAACAATGACACAGGCGCCATCAGCTCGGGAGCCCCAGAGAGGCTAAGGCCTCTCCTCCCGCCCCCCTCTCTGGGGAGAAGGGCAGGTCCCAGCTCATTACTGGAGGGGGCTGGGGCGAGGTGTCAGATTGGAATCGCTCCTGCTCCCCGGGCTGTTCACAGCTTCCGTGTTTCATTAACACCTCCCCGGTGGTCTCTGGCTCATCCTGCTGGGGGAGGCTCCCCAAAGTTCTACCCACCCCCTACCCAGCCCCGAGCTCAGCCCCCTCTCCTGGGCCTGTTCTCAGTGTGACACAAAGTGAAGGTGTGGTGTATGGGGGTGGGGGTCCTTCCCTCCCGCTGGGGTCCTGTTCAGGGGGCCCTTCCTTTGCCCTCCCCCAACAACTGAGCCCCACCCTGAGCCCCCCTGCACGCTCACCCGGACCACTTCTTTTCCAGTCTCCTATGACTGGGTATCAAGCCAATATGATTTTGGGGGTCCCCATCCTGTCCCCCTCCACCTAGGAGCCCCCTGGCAGCCAGCACACTTACTGGCAGCCATCATACTTACAGGGGCCACTCCACTACCCCAAATTAGGCTTTCCAGTCCCAGTGCCCTCGGGGGAGGTGGAGGGTGGGGGAGGGCGGCCCCCATCATTATTAGCACTTTTTGAGGAGCAGGAGAGGGTGTGAGCTGTGCCCCAGTTAATTGTCCCACTTTCTTGCCCAGACTGGGAAAAGGAACGGGGGCTGGCCTGGAATTGGGACCAGGAGATTTTACACCTTTGGGCTCAAGGGTAGAACCAGCACCGCACGCACTGGATGCTCGCTCGGGAAGAGGCGCATGCGCTCTGGTCCTCGCGGGGGCCCATGTAGAGGACGCCCTCACCTGAACTGGCCTCCTGCTGTCGTTTCATCTCTGCCCCCCCTCCCGCCTCCCCCCCCCCAGGTTTGTAAGAAGTCAGAAGCGAAGGGTCCTGAAAAGCTGGCCCTTTCCCGGTCACCCCAACTGCATGACAATGGCCCAGCG